AATGTGTTTGAAATCTTGCCCCACCCCCTGCTGAAAAAAACTAATCCAATTTTTAATAGGAGAGCAGTGTCTTATCTCAACTTGCAGAATGGTACTGCAGCATGAAACAGGTTCACAGCATTGGATCACACATTCTTGGTGGAAACTGTGTGCCTGTCCAACAGGAAAAGAAGCTTTGAATGTATGGGCTGAACTTCATACATTCCTGCAGCCTCCAGTTTTCAATGTTCAGAGATACTGGAGTAAGAAATAATGACCGCTTTCTAGATTGTTCATTGTAATTATGATGAACTGTCTTTCTAGCAGTAAAATTAAGCCCATTCAGTAAGATATCTCTTCCCACCCAGGACTTTTTCTCATTCAACACACCTGCTTTCTGCAAGGAAGCCGACAGGAATAGAGAACTCGGAGAGAGATCTGATGGCAGTACTTTTTCTCATTCAACACACCTGCTTTCTGTGAGGAAGCTGACAGGAATAGAGAACTCACAGAGAGATCTGATGGTAAGAAATAATGACCGCTTTCTAGATTGTTCATTGTAATTATGATGAACTGTCTTTCTAGCAGTAAAATTAAGCCCATTCAGTAAGATATCTCTTCCCACCCAGGACTTTTTCTCATTCAACACACCTGCTTTCTGCAAGGAAGCCGACAGGAATAGAGAACTCGGAGAGAGATCTGATGGCAGTGTTGTGTTGCATAAATCCATGTTGTTGTGCCAAAGGTTTTTAGCAAATATCTGCCAAAAGAAACTGTGGCCAGAAAAAGCCTCTTATCAATTCTAGATAGTGAGGAAGGCAGAGGAGTCAGTGCTACGCTGTATTGTAAACAGAAAATTCTCCTTTCTCCATTATGGGTGAGGTGAAGATGCAAATAAACATGTTAGTTTCAAATCTCTGTTAGCTGCCAAGGCATGTAGGCTTAATTTAGCTTTCAGTGAAGTAATTTCTGAGGGAAGGATCATTTTTAGTCCAATTGTTAGAAATGTTGCAATTCAAGGCTGTGTTGGGAAGACCTTGTCCTTACTACTTTCTCGTTAGTAAAGAAAACTTGAGGTTTATCTTCAGGAGTGTTTATGTGTATTTCCTCTGAGCCCAGCATACTGTCTTTCACTCTTTCCTACCCATTTACTTCTTGTCTTTTTTCCTGTGCTTGTTGCTGCATTCCTTTTCTGCTGTCCTACAGCAGAGCCTCAGATATCCAGGGAAATCTGTCTTCTGTCTTGACTGTTTGGAAGCGTGTAGCAGTTCATCTCCTAGTGCTCAGAAGAAGATAAGAATGAAATTGAGCTGGACCAACAGTCTCTTTAGCCCAGAGAGAAGGGGAGGAATGAGAGGACTTTTCTTGAGCTGCATTTTTATTGTTAAAGTTTTTCCTTCAAAGGCAATTCCAGTGAAAATCTTGTTGCCAAAATTGAGATGAAAGTGTAGCAGTTCATCTCCTAGTGCTCAGAAGTAGATGAGAATGAAATTGAGCTGGACCAGAAGTCTATTTAGCCCAGAGAGAAGGGGAGGAATGAGAGGACTTTTCTTGAGCTGCATTTTTATTGTTAAAGTTTTTCCTTCAAAGGCAATTCCAGTGAAAATCTTGTTGCCAAAATTGAGATGAAATGAGGTGTTCTGAGGTTGTCTCTTGCATTCTGCTCTAATGAGGTGTTCTGAGGTTGTCTCTTGCATTTTGCTCTTTCTTCCTTGCTCCTCTCTCTCTTAAAAGACTTCTTCCCTCTGACTGCGTATCTCTAACCACTCCTGTGTGTTTCTCCTGAAGGCTGGTATGGGGTTTTTCAGAATACTTGCATAACTACTGAAAATCCTCCAGCCCCGAGTACATGGGGATTACATCCCCAGCCGGGTAAATTAGTTAAGCACGTGTTCAGGGCTGGAGGATTTTCAGTTGTTATGCAAGTATTCTCCATCCAAGAACTTCCATCCTGTAGATTGGTGTGCTTGTGTAAGCAGCCCTGCTTAATTGTTTAAGTGCTTGGTCTCAAGTGGTTAAGTGTAAGGCACTAAGTGCATTTCTTCCACAAAAAAAAAGAATCTACTGATACAGAGTTCATGGTTATGGTTGCTTACAGTGTCAATACTGGAAGAAGCTATTCCTCGTTTTATTGCAGGACTGGGTAATCCTGAAAGCTCGTTAGTGTCTCTCTAACTTTGTCTCTCAGTTTATGCTTTGCAGGGTCAAACCTGGTAATGGAGGAAGCACAGGCGATCTCTGTCTGTGGGTCTGGGAAGTTGTGGGTGACTTCTGTTCCGTTTTCTGCCACTGTCTGTCGGTCTGAGTGTAAGCACATGGCTTCCTCTGTATCAATTGTGGTCACATAATTGCCTCGACAGGAGGAAGAGACAAGAGAATTAATTTCTTTAGAAAAAGATTTGCAGATTATTTGTGGAAAGTACCACACAGGAGTCTGTATCTACGTGCTTTTGGTGCACTCAGTGGAATTTTTTTCTAAGTCACCAGTAGACTTGTATGGCTCTGAAAAATGACCTGTGTCATGGAGAAATGATCCTAGTTTATCTTAGAAACACGGAACTTGGTGCATAGCAGGCAGCTAACTTAAAATGAGATGTAATTTTAATTTTTGAAAATTTATGCTTTGTTCTATATTTTTTCTTAAGATTAGAAAGTAAATTGACTTTTACATAGGTCACTTCGTTCAAAGCACTGCTGCGTAAAAGGATGCTAATAACCATGAAAATTGAGGAGCAAAATATAGGATCTTTGATCCGCAGCATCTCTTCCTTGTTGCCTTGCTAAACTGCCAATTTGGAGACCTCTGGCAGGGTCTCTGACAAAAATGGTGCAGGATGTTTTTTAATAGGATTTTTAAATACTTTCAAAAACTGGAGGAAAAATACATTGGCAGATTACTTCTCTTAGGTAATCCTTTACATTGAAGTAGCCAACTAAACACGCATACCAGTCCCCGAAAAATAGATAACTAACATTCAGCTGCACGCAAATGCAGATAACTTAATATGCAGTTCTGACATATTCAGAGTCAGATCATGAATAAATATTTGACTACTTGCTAATCAGACAGAAATGACTCTGAACAGTGGTTTTGACAGTGTTTTGTCATGCTGCCAGTAGGGGAAAAAAAAAAAAGGCAAGACAGCTTTCCAAAACAGTAGGTGTAATACTGTATCTCTGATACATCATTCATGGTGTTTGCTCTGTTAAAGCACATGTATAGAGTGGATTATATGTTTTGTCACCAAATGGGAGTGGAGAAGGGATTCTGTCTTGGTGACGTGCTCGTTCTTTCTTTGAGTATAGCAAATGTCATAGGATACTTTCGAGCAATGTACCAAACTCATAATTTTAGAACAAGCATTAAATCTGCATAAATTTCACAATCTGTGTAAATGGGGAAGAATGTATCTTGTGTTGCTTAGCAATGGCTTAATTGACTATATGGCTACTACGAGAACTCCTTGCATCTTAATATCTGGACTGAACAATCTCCTTCTTGTTTTTGCCCTTTGAAGGCCCTTTACTGAAGTCAGTAGGAGCTTATGTGCAAAATAGTTGGCAAAAAAAGAAGCCTGTTAGAAGAGAATAGACAAGAAACCCAGGCCTCCCTGGAATTAGTGGCAAAGAGTCATTAGGCTGGTGGGAGCGGCTGTGCCCAGACTGTGTATCCACAGGCTTCCAGGTGGTTGTGTGCATCTGCTTCCCAAAATCACCTTGTAGCATCTTCCAGGTGGTTGTGTGCATCTGCTTCCCAACATCACCTTACAAGGTTCCCATGCTGGCATGGTACTGTCCTGGTGGTGTGCTGGCTCCAAGCACAGGCCAAGTTCATGTACCTCACTAAATATGCAGTATTTGCTGTGAATCCCAGCCTTTGACATGTACATCATTGTACTGTCCTGGTGGTGTGCTGGCTCCAAGCGCAGGCCAAGTTCACGTCCCTCACTGTATATGCAGTATTTGGTGTGAATCCCAGTCTTGTATGCCTGGAATTAGTGGCAGAGTCATTAGGCTGGTGGGAGCGGCTGTGCCCAGACTGTGTATCCACAGGCTTCCAGGTGGTTGTGTGCATCTGCTTCCCAAAATCACCTTGTAGCATCAGGTTCCCATGCTGGCATGGTACTGTCCTGGTGGTGTGCTGGCTCCAAGCACAGGCCAAGTTCATGTACCTCACTAAATATGCAGTATTTGCTGTGAATCCCAGCCTTTGACATGTACATCATTTACTTGTATGTAGTCAGTGTATCAGTTCTCTGTGCTAGAAATGCAAGTGTTGCCTCGTATCTTGTGCACCTAGAAGGCAAAAATCTGAAACTGAGTGGAATCCGCAAAGCTCCTGAACTTGCTCCTGCAAAGATGAAGGATTGTAGGGAGTTTATTCAGAAAATTAGTTTTGGAAACAGAGCTGTTAATTTGTTTCTAAAAATACAGATGCAATCTCTTTTTATTGCCAAGAAATTATCCTTGACTTCTATAGCTAGTTCAGGACTGGAATGGGAATATTGTCAATTATCTTTGTTTTTTTGTAGGAATCATGGTGCTATAAGTATTAAATTGAAAATATAGTAAATAAAATGGTGTAATTGCTTATTTTCCTCTGCAGAGAAGCTGAAACTCTTAACAAAATAAAGCTAAAAGCAGAAAATTGACTGACAATCCAGGAGTTATCGCTTTTTTTTTTTTTTTTCTTCATTTGAGGGTACTCTTGAGTATGGAACTATCTCTTATTACTGACAAGGGGAGACTTAGTAAATACTTGAAAGCTGTTTCTCCTCAACAGTTGCGCATGCTTCAATGTGAAAAGTGAACAGTAGATTTTATAATAATGTTAAACTATTCGCCTTGTAACATTTAGGATTAGTGATATTCTTGCCAATTAACAATTCTATTGTATATGCCTCAAATTGTTTTTTTGAAAAGGGAGGTGGTTGTGAATTTCGAAGGCTTCTGTGCAGCTTTCTGAGACCAGCTAACACTTCTATATTTTGATATTTTTAAACTTTCCTCTTATAAAGGGAAGGTCAAGTTATTTTAAGGGGTGCCACTGTTTTTTATGATGAAACTTAATTGCTTTGTATATATATTTTGTTTACAACTTTTTTTTTTTTTTTCTTCATTTGAGGGTACTCTTGAGTATGGAACTATCTCTTATTACTGACAAGGGGAGACTTAGTAAATACTTGAAAGCTGTTTCTCCTCAACAGTTGCGCATGCTTCAATGTGAAAAGTGAACAGTAGATTTTATAATAATGTTAAACTATTTGCCTTGTAACATTTAGGATTAGTGATATTCTTGCCAATTAACAATTCTATTGTATATGCCTCAAATTGTTTTTTTGAAAAGGGAGGTGGTTGTGAATTTCGAAGGCTTCTGTGCAGCTTTCTGAGACCAGCTAACACTTCTATATTTTGATATTTTTAAACTTTCCTCTTATAAAGGGAAGGTCAAGTTATTTTAAGGGGTGCCACTGTTTTTTATGATGAAATGGCTTTGTATATATATTTTGTTTACGTAGCTTTCCAGTTTGAGACAGTACGAGTAGTTAAAGATGATCTCAACTTTTTCTAATTCTTAGCTAAATTGGAGATAAACTAGATAGTTGGTTTTTTTTTTTGGCAGGGCTTGTAACAGCTCTGCTTGCACAGGTTTGATTGCAAGACAAAAGGCAAAGTGCTTTCCATTGATCATTTCAGCAAGGGCAACAATCTCCCGCTCTCCTTTTCTTCCTGCTCTTTCATTCTGAAGCACAGGAGCAGCGAAAGGAAAAAGCTCAGAAAGCTGCAACTGGGAGCAGGAATTGCTCTGCAGAGACCCAAACCTACAGCCCCTGATTGTGCAGAGAAACAGACAGTCGCTATCAGGAGAATAGTCACTTGCCAGGGCCCAAATGGAGCGCTCTCCGCAAATAGCACTCAAGGTGAAGTGGAACAGGTCATTTAACTTCCCCTTCGGCTGCGGAGGGAAAGCTGTCACACCTTACAGCGCGCTCCTGGAGGGCTTCACAAGGAGTTTGTCCTACCATTGGGACAGGGGGCGTACAGCATCCTCTGCAGCAAGCTTTCCATCAGTAGGAAAGTGCCTTTTTGACTTCCAGAGGCCACAGATCAGGTTCTTACGACGCGAATCGTCCTGGTTTTTAAGCTGAGCATTAAAAGCACTTGCTCGCTTCATGTGCAGTGGGCTGAAAGCCTGCAGTGCGCAGACGGGTCCGTGGGTGAGGTATGCCACTGTGGTGACAGTGCCTCTCTTGTAAAATACCAAGAGGCAGTGGCTCACACTGATCCCCTTTTTGCAGTGGGGCTGTGCTCTGCAGTCAGAAATACTTCCTTTCGGCGTCTTTTCTGCCTTCTGTTCTTAGACTGCGCTTCTGATAAGTAAGGTAAGGCAAATTTTTGCTGAGGAAACTGAGAGGGAGGGCAGCAAGATCCATGAACAGATTTCCCTTCCCCACCTCTCCTGTGCGAGATTCTCTTAAACAGCTTCATCGTTCACAGGGCCAGATGAATGGGTGAGTCCTTGTCCAGTGCCCATTACTCACCACGTCTTGCTCCCTCTGTAGCTCCTCCGTGTTTCTCAGACCTTCACAGCAGCTGGTGACTGACCTGTCCCCCCTTCTCAGCCGCTGTCCCTTGCCTCATCACCCCAGTGCCACCAGAGGGGAGATTGTTAGTTGAGTACAGCTCCTTTTGCTCCCACGGAGAGCCATCAGCAGCAGCTTCCAAAGGCTGAGGGGATGCCATTGGCATCCTCTCTTTCCCCAAGAGCAGATGCTTCTTTGGACCTCATCCAGGGTCCTCCGGAGCTGATAGAAGGGCTGTCTTGAATTTGGCTGCCTTTGGTTTGGGCTCTTCCCCTTCTTGTTACTTAACAGCAGGCTCCTTTCCCAGCGAACTCAAAGTGGGTCCTCATGTGGAAAAACTGAAAATCGAGCAAAATCATTTCAGGTTTTTTTTTCCCAGCTCTGTTCCAGTGACCGGTGGCTTTGCCATTGCAGTTACACCGTAAGGAGCTCAGTCACACAGATCTCTCCCCGAAGTTAACTCATGGTTTTACATTGATTTATTACTGTGAACGTACCCAGCCGCGTGTGAGGAAGGATGTCTGGTACGCTGTGTGTGTGAGACACGTTGTGTGCCAGTCATACTTCCCCCCGAGTCATGTGTTCTTCACAGTGTGGTTAATCACTGACTGTGCCTCTTGTCTCTGTGGCTCTTTTACTCGTTTCTTTGAATTCTTTCATTTTCTTATAGAGGAGGTTTTCTTAGGGAAGCCTTTTTAATGTCCGTTTTATTATTTCTCTTTGAAGAAGCCTTTCCATCATAAGATCAGTGATTGCAGCCCTGTGTAGTATTAGCATTAACCCCAAAATTAATAAAACTGAGGTGATGAGGAATCCTCAAAGTGTGAAAATGAATATCCTCCCTCTTCAAGGCGAAAGCTTTTATCATGATATTGCAAAACTGAACAGCATGTCCCTGTTCATTGGCTTTGAGGTTTTCCTTGCACATGGTAGGTATATAAATGTAGGCCTTTTTTCCAAGTCTATTTGTGTTAAAGAAACTAGACTTAAAGCATATTATTGACATGTAAAGTACTGTTTGTACTGTTGTGTGGAACGTGGATATGACTGTTTATATCAGTTTTGGATAATGGGCTCTGCTAAAATGTTTTCAGAGTAGCTCTGAATTGGAACCTAAAATCAAGTACAACTTGCCAGTTTGGTTAGGAAATACTCTGGGTAATGAATTCTTTATGCATAGTTTTCATCGATCTTACATGACTGAGAGCAAAAAGGAACAATGTTTTGATGGGCTTCTGTACGTTATTGTGCCAGCAATTGATTTTTGTTGATTTTGCATGTTGTGACTGACTGCTAATTAAATAACTGGGATCAGTGGTTCAGTTCTATCTTTCTCTTCTTCCACAGTGTGACAAAATCAAGCAAGAACGAGATGAGGCTGTCAAAAAACTGGAGGAGTTTCAGAAAAGTAAGTTGATTTGGGGATTTTTTGGTATAGAGAGCTATGAACGTTGCTCTGCAATGCTGTGCAGTGTTAGAATGCTGAGATTTAGATCCACTTGCTGTTTCTCCTTCAAAGCCTTGTTTTAAGGAGCTAAACTGGTGAGACTTTGACCATTGTCAGACTAACTGCTGTCACAGCATTTATACACTCTGACACAGGCAGCTGTTCTTAAGGTACAAAGTGGTGAAAATCCAGTGGTACCAAGGCAACTCTATCTCACCTGGATTCTGCAAGTGACTTTTGGAATGATGTAAGCCTGGATTGAGTGGGATTTGACCCTATTACTGAGATTGCTAATTATAATAATAATAACGATAATGGTAATTTTTTCATGAAGAAGGAGTAAAACTACTATTACTGAGATTGCTAATTATAATAATAATGGTCATTTTTTCATGAAGAAGGAGTAAAACTAGCTTAAACACAAATGCACCAATAAAGATTTTTAGAATGAACTGCTGTCTCTTGATAATTTCTAGAGCAAGTTCTGCCTTGGCTGGGCTGTGAGAACGTCAATATTCAGTTTTACACTTTTATGGTAATGATTCTATTGAAACTGTATGGTGTCTGGAGGCAACAAAGCACATCTAATGGGAGTGGAAGTATCCTGGTGGAATAGCTCCTTAGAAGAGACAATTACAATAGGATTGTGGTCTGTTATGTCTGGTTTGTGCCAGTACGGTGAACTGCACGATGAAGCATCAGAAATGTGGATGAAGTTAATGCAGGAGAAGGAAATCACATGGTCTGTACTTTTGTGTGACTCTGTTAATAGAGGAATTTGCTCACTTCTATTTTATAATTGTTCATATGATACGATTACGGAAAAGAATCTAAAATCAACAGGAATGATCTGCTGCCCTAAATGATCCTAGATAACTGTTCTGAGAAGCAAGAATGTTCTCAAAGAAGTCTAATTCCTCTGGAAAAAACTGCAGCCTGTTTTGTTTTTGTTATGATATGAGGAATACCAGAGCGTGGCAGAAAATGTCAAGTAGTTAAGACTTAAAATTTCAAGTAATATTTGATGTTGTAAAATTTTATAGGTTTCTTTTATCTTCCTTTCACGTTTTTAAAGGACATACCTTGTAAACATAGTGATAAAATGCCAGGAATATTAGGATTTTAAGGCAATAATAGAGCCCATTATTTAAACGACAATATAAAAGGCAATTATATTGATGAAGAGCTACATCGGCTTTGTGTCTGTGAATAAACTTGGCCTGTACTCAGCTTCTATTTGTTCTCCTGGCATAAACACATATTGTGTGTGATTCCAGTTTAATGGGGCCCCGTTTGTATGCCAAGCAGCTGCATTTTAGGCCCTATTGCGTGATTTCATAGCTCTCTGAAAATTGGTTCTATTGAGCACAAGAGATAGAAGGTGGTGGTGGGGGGGAAAGCTTCAACACACAATCATTTCTTTTCAATTGGAGCCAGCAAGGTTGATGACAACATGACCATTGTGTTATAATGATAAGACCACTAAGGATCTGTACCTCTCATCAAGGCTTTCACACAACAGCAGATACAATTTAATTCACTGCTCTGTCAGCAGTGCTGATACCATTATGCCGTCTGTCTCCACAGTTATAATCACTGTCCTCCGAGAAATGCAGTTGAAATGATCTTGAGCAGTCAAAGAAACTCTCAATTAAGGCTGCCACTTCCAATGTGTCAGATTGTGTCTTATGCACTTGGTACAATTTTCACTTCCAATCCTGTTTATTTACAATGTCTACCAGTAATTACGCTTAACATGTCATTTAGTGAGGGTGCCCCTGCCAAGGAGATTGTTGGGTGCTGCAGTACCATTGAGTGGGAGTTTCTCGCAGTCAATGCCATCAGCGGCTTTTAGTCCCTGATGGGATGCAGTAGTAATGTTGATAATGCAAGTATCGTGCTCATCAAGTCATAATTAGATGCCACTCAAATGTGCCACTTGTAATAACAGTGTTGATTCATGTTTTCTCGGTGACTGCAACTACTAATTAGTTAAGTGGTTTTTGGTTGGCCTGCATTTGCTGCGGATTATTATTACCCCTGAAAAAAACTGTCAAGGTTAGAGATGTTTCAGGCCACTTAGTGCTGCTTTATGAATTTTAATATTGACATAATAAGAACTTTGGACAGACTTAGGAAATAATATATTTTTGTATTTAATTTGGAAAGATTTTTTTTCCCCTGAGTTAATCATAATTGCAGGTTAATTAAGTTTAAATGAACCAAGAGTAATCCCTAGTTCTGCCATGTGAGCCCAATCCTTGTTTCCTAACTTTAGCTTTGCTTGAGGCCATTAGATTCCTGTCTGTAAAATGGGAGCAGCTCCGTATCTCCACTGCTCCCTCATCCTGCCCAAAGCATTTCCTTGCTCCAAATTCCCAGAGCGAGGTAGAATGAAAACACGAAGTACCTGCAGCTTTTCCTTTCTTGAATTAAATATAGCAGCTGGTGTGGCACCCTTTGAGCAGATAATTTCTTCCAAGTCAGAAAAAATGTAAATAAAAAGACAACCAAAGAAAGAGATGTGGTTGCTTTGCTGTTAAAAGACTTCATTGGAATATAGTTTTTGAACCAAGATTCCCAGTACTCTGCCCTGCTCTGGTTTTTTTTTTGGCTGCTCGTACTTTGTAGAACTTGTTTCTTGCATGCAGCTACTGATTTGACAGCAAACTCCAGTGTATTGCTGGTTTCCTGGGTTATTAAGGAAAACATTAGTTAATATTGACTAAGCATGAGTATAGCTGCATAAATAACACTTGTTAGCAGCCTGCTTTTTTTAATCCTAAATTCCTGTTTTGTAGTCATTAATTGTAGTCTGGATATCAAAGAGACCTTAGATAACTCTCTTCAGCATTTAGGCAAGTCTTGGAAGAGGGCAAGCAGAACTTTCTTCCCAATGGTATCACTAGTTTTTAAAGCTTATCTTCACGAAAGTGAAAGACAATACTAGAAAAACTCCTCCCTAGTTACACTGTGTTCTTCCAGCTTTGTTCCTGCTGCAAAGTAGTGTTCAGCTGTGAATAGTCCTTTCTGCACATTGAAATCCTGACACTGGGCTGAAAAGGAATCTGGGCCATGAGATGACTTGCAGAATTAGGGTCCAGGCTGCCACTTTGGGTGAATAAGGGTGCCAGGAGCCAAGGATGGGCAAGGTGGTAGTCTGAGAAATGGGAAACTGTTGGTGAGTTTCCTGCTGGGCTCTAGATCCCCTGTGCATCTTGGAGCTTGTCACTTAGAAGATGACTTTCAACCCTCGTTAAGTACCAATGTACCACTGGGAGCTGAGAGGAGTTGCAAGCCAAAATGCATCTGTGCTTTTAAATGTCCTCTAACTTGCACTGATGTCCTGTGTTACAAAATAAGATTTGTTCCATAACTTTTTGGTCACTCCAGGAATATTGTGTATCTTCGATATAGTGGTGTGCAGGATCCTGTAAGGGCAAAGGACAGATGTGTCTCTTGCTCTTCCAGCTGTGACATCAAATACAGTGGCACAGTCGTGTGTTTCAGGTGCAGTCACTTAGGTGGAGCATGGTCTGTTGGAGGCACTACACATACAGAGGCTTTGGTCACGTAACTCCTTTCTCCATTTCCTAGTAAACTTGCCCCAGGCCCATGCTGTATGTGCATGCGGCAGCTCTTCTTGTACAGTGTGTTTAGCAAGTGTGATGACACTTAAAATACCATATAAACCTGAAGACCAGAAGGTGAAAATAGTCTTTGTAAGACACCTGAGTTAATCTTGCTGTTTAAAAATAGCGAGGTTCTAATCTTCTGAAAACCGTGTCCATACCAAATTTTCAAGAGATTTATGATGGCAATCTGAGTGTGCAACCCTAGTAATTTGACGGATTCCTCAAGTGTTAATGAAATAAAGGTGTTGAATGATGGTGATCAGGGAGGCTCCTGCTGGCCTTCTACTTGCATAAGTTTATTCTCAGTTCTCCAGTTTCCCCCTCTGATGCTGCAGACACGGCTTGAGAGAGTTGATTAAAGCAATGAACCAGATATTCAGTGTTCTAAACAATTCCTGTCCATGGAGATTGTCTAAGTATGCACTTCCCTGTATTTGAAATGTTCACATAGAACATTAACAGAAAAAGATGTAATATTTCTGATCATGGGATGCATGTGTCAAATGCAGGAAAATACTGACTAATTTTTAAACTCTTCCCCTAGTTTCTCACATGGTTATTGAGGAAGTAAACTGTATTCAGAACAATCTTGAAATTGAGAAGACGTGCCGTGAAAGTGCTGAGGCTTTGGCTTCTAAGGTGAGAGGAATTATGGTGATTCTGTTTCATCAGATTTCTTTCTTATTTTTTTTTAAACTTGAGATTGTATGCATATCCCTTATATATATTCATATAATCTTGCAGATCTGTGAAATTGTTTTGAAGTGGCAAAACCCATAAGCTTTCTGTGAGACGCAAAATACAATTCCTCCCTTTAAAGAAAAAAATACCCATTTTAATTTAGTTCTGTTTTGGAAGAGTAAGTCACGGACCAGCATCTTGATACCTAGTTTTTATATGCATTTAGGTTAAATGGAAAACAAGTTTTAGAACTGTCCTGTGTGAGATATAAAACAATAATGAGCATTTCAGTGTCTAAATCAAATGGAAAAAGTCAACCACTGCATTACATTTCAGGTGATTGTTTATGAAAGCAAAGCGAGGGCAGGGGAAAGGTGACCTCCGCTGCTCTGTTGATTGCGTCTAGTCTGATGAATTTAGCAAGTGTGTAATTTTCTATATTCCATCTCATCAGAAGTGCATTATTATTAAAGAATGTTTTTATCTCTCTGTTATATATTTTTGGTTGTGTAAAATGCATCTGAGCCACTTCATCAGAAAATGGATTACAGCAATTTTGAACCAAATTTCATTAGCAATGCTGACTGCCTTTTTTTTTCTCTCTCTTTTTTTTTTTTTTTTCCTCCCCATCCCCTGCCCAAAGTACATCCTGAGATATGGTAAAAATCACACCAGCAAGAAATCACTTTAATTTAGATGCATTAGCAATGTACTTTCTGGAGGTATTTACTTAATTGTTTGCATAATGACACTATATTAGAATTCATAAGAGAGACAATCAGCATATAAGTAAGAAAATGAACATATTTATGCAACTTTTCTTCTTTTCTGCACTTTTCCTGTAATGCACATACAGGGGCAGTTCAAAGACTAGCTTTGCCAAAGCTGATTTGTTTTTTGCTGTGAGCTGATGAAATGAGGTTCCTTACACCACCCTTCCCACTCGCTCCGTTTCTTTCTTTGGGAATGAGATGAATAAGTCCTTAAATAAATCTCCTGTAGTTCGTGGGCTGCAGCAATCTCTGTTGTTCGTTTTTTCCTGGCACCTTGGTCAAGATGAGATGCCTTCCAGAACCTCTTCCATATCGTCCACCAACCAGGCACATGTTTAAGCATTCAGCTCAGGGTGGCTTCTGACTTGTGGTTTGCCCAGTGAAGAACTGGTTTATGATACAGTTTTCATTTTACATGTATCGACTCTACAGTAATAATTGCTGAGAATTAAAAATAATTCAAAAGAATTCTGAGCTAATTCTGCCATGACTGGGAGGATAGTAGATGTGGTGTTTGTTGTTTATATACAAAATTAGGGCATAGGAGGAGGTAAGAGTTTTTATTTGACCAGTTGATACAGCTGGCAAAACCAGATGAGCTTTCAGGAGCACAGGCCCTTCTTCACGTCATTCAATTGGCGCTCCTGTTGATGCTGGTACATGCTTAAGGGTAAGGAGCTGAAGCACCTATCACAAAGGATGCATAGCAGTGAGTAGGCTTGATAGTTGATTTGATTTGAACATACACTGGGTATTTATTAGTCAGAATTACCAGAAAGGAAAGCAGGGCGTGGATGAAGCATCATGTTGAATTCAAGCCTCCCCAGAGGAGAACGAGGACAAGCTTCCCATCTTCAGACTATTTTAATGTTGAATGGAGCATCTAATCTAATGTCACTTTGTCTTCTTTGTTTGATAGATCTTTTAATGATAAGGGAGGGAAAAAAAACAGTTTACTTTTTTAGTTGACTCTTTTTTTCTTGAACAGCAGCTTAAAGACAAACTAGATCCTTACTGTTTGTGCTTCTCGACTTTCAGCTGAACAAGGAAAATAAGACCTTGAAAAGAATTAGTATGCTTTATATGGCAAAACTGGGCCCAGAAATTATCACTGAGGAGATTAACATTGATGGGGACGATTCACCCGCGGATGCAGAAGCCAACTCTGGATCGTGCACTTCTCTGCATTGTCAGCAGCAGATGAAAGGTGAGTGTTGCTGCTGAGCCTACACCTCTGAACAAGGGAAAAGTTGCCTAAAGAATGGCAGTGTTGGTTCAGACCAGACATCTCTCTGGCTCCCAGTCACACTTCTGAGAGGGGGCATCAAAGGATTTCCTGGAAGGACTGGTAGAACATGGCAGGCTTGTAGTGATGCTGTGTGATGTATATGGTGGGTATAACAGCCTGTAAAGGAAGTTACAATGCAATAGGAAAATGAGATCTACACAGTTAGGGGGAGTTCAGTGTTACTGAGTCAGTAAAAGAATTATATCTTCAGATCCTTAACAAAGTAAAAGTTAAGCAAAAGGACAAGGTCACCTTGGTATTGGTTCAAGTGCAGTGGGGCTATTTCAAAGCTTGAGACAGGACTCTCCATTTCTATTTCCATTGTGTACCTTTGTGTGCACAAACTTCACTCGTGTTCCAGGGCTATTGCCAAACAACCCGCTTCAAAAGAGACTGTTGTGCTGGGTGAAACAGCAAAGCTTGGGAACGTGGAAATACATTGATAAGAGAAGTCTGTGCTTTATTAAGAAATTTATGGTTCTTTTTGAAAGGCAATTTGTGTTTCTGTAACCCAAAATCTGCCTTACTTTCTCATCTAACTGTGATGAAGACACCATGATTCTGTATGTTGTTATACTGTAGTATCCAAAAAAGGGGAATGCCTACATTCTGCACTTGGTGACAGAGATAGATTAAGGAGTTCACTTTTTTTTTTGACAGTAAGTACAGCTTTCCTGAACTTGCAGCCTGCCCTTGTTAATTTTTTTTTTTTGTTGGAATGTAGCAGCCTCAATAAAGTGGTACAAAGTATCACTGAGAAAAAAGGTGTGTTCTAAAAATGTGTTAAAAAAATCCCACCCAAGAAATAAGATGTGATAGTACCCATCTCTAATAAGCAGTTTTCCATCCTATAGATGTAGGAAGAGAGGCAGAGAGTGATGCGATCCACACCATGCAACCCATCTGAATCAGAAGTAAGGCTCTGGAGTTCCTCCTGCTTTTTATTAGAGAGAGATGTCAAGGATACATTTAAAGAGAGCAGAGACTCTGGCTGCAGATCAGAGAAGGTGCTTAGGAGGGTGGCAGGGTCAAATGAAAGAAACATTTGAAGAAGAGCTCTGATGTAAATGCTTTCTGTCTTGATGAAGAATTCATTTAAGAGCAAAATATGGCATGTTGTAAAGGATTTTAGAATTCCTGGTTTCTGCTTCTCTCTTTGGCCTTGTTATTAAATGTTAATGACCTTACTTTTACAAGCGCTGAGTATTTTTAAAAGCATTGACATCCCATTTGCTGTAGGAGAAGATATTCCATCGCTGTGCCTGGAGAGAAACGTGTGTGTGTTTGGTAGCAGAGTGAGGTGACGACATGTACCAAGAGGCAGTGTCAGGGCTGTGTCCCCAGCCCAAGCCAAGATGTGGTGGCATTTGTCTGCAGGGAAAAAACTGAAGTTATATCTTGGCTTACCTGCTAAATGAAAGACCATATGCAATGAAAACTGTGTTTTCAAAACTCCCCTTAATGCTTTCTGATGTTGCCCGAGGTGAAATCTGCTCTTATATGCACGTTTATGATTCCAAGGAGTTGTGTTTTGTGTTGGAAACCTTGGAAGTCTTTTAGCCTTCTTACCGTTCAACAACGTATTGGATGTTTCTTGGAATGATTCCATCCCTCCCACTGCTTTTTTGTAAGGATATACAAATAAGGTAGTACAATCAGAGGTTCTTTGATGAAAACCCTCTTATTTATTAAAGGGATAAAATTTTGTCCCTCAGATACCTCCCTCTATTTTTGCTATCTCATACTTTAGGGAAAGTTGATAGTAAAGCTCTAATTCCTAATGGAAGTGTAGAGGCATCTCAGAGCAATACCTGAAATTCATTTAAAGGGTTTGGGTTTTCTTTTTCTTTTTAGTTGACATTTTGGATGTAACGAGAACTGACAACTGAACTGTGTTGGTCAAGCAGCTTAGTGCATACCTTGTATCTGAAAAAAAACCATTTCTTGTACACATTTATAAAGATTTAGTTATATGGATATGCTTTTTTCTCTATATAAGGTTGATATATGTATTGTCAGAGCTGACTTAGTCCAGTTATCGTAAATTTCAGTGAAACCTTTTTTCCCTTAATTTCACCAGAACACACAAATCCATAAAGCAGACGATTTGGTTTAAGAATCTTCCAGGAAAACAAGTCTTTTTATTTACTTTAGAACATGTGTGCCTTTAATTGAGAGGAAAATAAATGTGAGGCTCCTGAATTAAGGTTGGGTGGATACTAGAGTAGAATCAACATTTTCAAGTTGTGAGACCAAACAGAATGACGTCCAGCATGTCATCATCATCATCTGCAATTGATTAGCAACAATTTTCTCAACTTGTGGCCAGTATTCAATGAACAGCAGCGCTATGAAATACGGGAAGCAGGTGGGGAATGAGAGCACTTACTGAAAGCTAATATATATCAATAAATTTATATTTTTGTGGTGTTATTATGTTAACCTAAACCTTGATACATTATGTATGCAAACTGATCTCCTGTTAAGAAGTGATTATAATCAAATGTTTTATTCCATTGTGAATTTAATTTATTTCATATTTTGATAATTAAGGAACAAAAATTCTGAGGGGAAAATTGCAAGCATTAGCTCTTCCATCAGTAAAGGTTATATTCTGACTCTGTTCACATAATGTTACAAAGACTATGAATTGGCAGCTGTTCAGGACAATTTCTTCAGTGAAAACCTCCCAAGTATTAACTGCCTGTTGTTTTGTTTATTTCCCTTGTGACAAGAACTCATGATCCAAAAAGAATTGAAGTGCATTAATTTGTTTTAAAGGACGCCCATTAAAAATTGCTTTCTGCTCCCTGTGTACCAGAGTCTGGGATGTGACAGTCTCCTGAGTAGGACTGAGGATACTCCGTGGTGGCAGGATTGGCCCCGTTGTAGCAGGGAATGAATCATTCAGAACACAAATAAAGTCAGCAGAGCTGAACAAGGCAGCTTACCTCAATAGATTAAATTTGAAACTGTGGCCCAGTTGTAGATCTGTTACTTGACACTTATGCCAAGTTCCTAAATTATTGAGGACCTTCCTTGAATACAGCTGATGCTTTGTATGCAGTTAAGGTGTTTCGTTCTCGATTGTGCTCGCATTGCTATGACATTCCCTTTGTTGTTTTCTTCCAAGAATAAAATATATTTTTCATTTCCTTCCTCAAACTGTAGAGCTGCGAGATCAAATCATATCTGTTCATGAGGAAAAGAAGACCTTAGCCATTGAACTGGAAAACCTGAGGTGCAAACTTGTAGAAGTAATTGAAGAAGTATGTATTGTACCATGGAAGGCGAGACCACGTTAGTGTGTAGTCAGTACTTTTTGTATCTAATTTTGCTAAAAACACTCAGTTGTGAAGTTAATTGAATACTATCTAATCGCAAGTCTTTCCAGCCAGCCCATATGATGGAACCACTTAGAGCATACACCTAGAAGGGGCCTTCTACGTCAGAGTCCAGTCTGCTGCTGGCACATGACTTTCCATGATCCATTCTAATGCCCATATAACTCTCATCTCCACTTCCTGACAGCCCCTCACCCATCACAGCCTGAGGGTTGGGTTTTAGTTTTTTTTTATTTCCTTAAACCTGTGGATGTGCAAGAAATACTTCTGGAGAATGTCCAGTTTAATCACTGGTGCTACTTCATTGAGCATATCCTTGAGTTTAGCCATTGGCAGTGCCCTGTCGTGGTAATTAGACCAGCAAATTAGCTTTCTGAGCCAGCACAGTTTCATTCCTGCTTGAAAACTGGATAAGCCATGTACTGATGGAGGTCAGGACTTAGTGGCTCTTCCTGTCTATGCAACACTCTCATTCAGAAAGACACAGCTGACAGCTTTTGGACAATAAACAGAGCCCAGGAAAAAAAACTAAAACAGCAGCCTGACTATATTAAAACGCAAACAGTCAAGGGCAAGTGAGTAAGTTTTCAACCAGGTGCTATGGCGCCTCCTTCTAAAAGGTTCCAAAGATGTTATATTTGCAGCTGTGACTGGTACGTGCCATGAAACTGGGCCATCAGAGCCCCGTGTGAAGGATTAGTTCATAGCCCTTTAATGCCGTCTGTAATTTGGGGTAAAAGTGCTTTCCATCCCACTGCAAACCCTGAGATCAAGCCAAGCCCAAGAAACAGAATTACTGAAAGCAAAATAATTGCTTGCATTATGTGTTGCTATATGCCTTACACCGCTAACTAAAATACTCTTATTTTTGATCTTTACACTTTTCTAGGTGAACAAAGTGAAAGAAGAAAAGGCTGTTTTGACAACAGAAGTTAATAAGCAACAAAAACTGTTGGAGAAATGTAACAGAGGTGTGTGGTCTCAGCAGGTTCCCTGACAGTTTGCTATGTCCTATGCAGGAGCTTCAGAGCTTTTATGTTGTGGTACAAAGAGCAGGTCACAGAACAGTGGCTGTGGTCCGGATCCGACACTTGGCCTTATTGCTGCAGGCACTGCTTAAACACATGGACTATTCTAGACTGTCTCTGCCCAGGAAAATGTGACAGTATAAATAGTGGATTGAATGTGAGAACAGGAAAACGTTTTGCTCTGTGGCACAAGTGGCAAGCTAGAAGAAGGCAGTCCTTCAGAGATGGAATTCAAACCTTAATCTCCGGTTTTGCTACATCATTACGTTGCCCTCCTTTTAGTTGGGGCACAGCTAATCGTTTTGAATATCTAAAGACTTGTGGGCAGCTTGTATGCTCACAGGATGATGAGAAAAAGGCAAAAGTGCTGGGAAATGAGATAAATAGAGTTTCCAAGTTATGAAGGGAAAGTGGGGACTTTCCTTTCCTGGAAAGAGATGAGAGGTAAAATTAGACACACCAGCTTGAAGATGATGGGAGAGTGGGAAGATCAAATGTTTCTGAAATGTTTTCTTTTTTCTAAGCACAATCAAAAATAAGAAAAAACCCCTTGTTTTACATTTTCCAGGAAGGAGGAGTTATACCAGGTTAGCTCCTAATGCAGAGGCAAATAAAGCAAGAATTTTTGTGTGTTTGAAATGAGCTACCCAAGTATCTACTCAATACCTACTGTATTCTGTGTCAGTGTAGCACTGTCTTGGATCTGCATAAGCAATACATTACAGTCAGAGTTGGGGAATTTATATTAATTCTTTCTAAGTATGTGGATTATGTGGATTGGGGTTTTTTGATGAAGGGGTACAACTTCTCAGTTAAATGTCTCTTTTCTTTTCAAAAAGTCTTCTTCTGTAATTAACTTTATGGAAAAAAGCTCTCCTGTATTTTCTTTTTTTTTTTTTTGGTTTTTTTTTTTTTTTTTTTTGTTTTTTTTTGGTTTTAATATTGATGGACCCATCAAACCTCACTTAAGCCAGGCAGGCAAATACAGGTGCCTCCGAAATAATGTAGTAATACATGATAGGTCCAGGAAAGCTCTCTTGGGGCTTTGATTGCTCACACCCAAAGGGGTAAAATATGGTCTATGCTACATGTTTTACTGGAGTTTTGAGTAACAGAGAGGACTATTAATCTGTTCAGAATACCAGTAATTGTGCATCTATGTAGTGAAGTTTAGAGCAAACAGGAGAAATACTGCAAAGGGGACTATATACAGAAGAGTGAAGCTAAGTTATACCTTCATTCAAGGATTCATGGTGCTGGGGAATAGCAACTTATCTGGGTAAATCAAGCAGTACTTCATCTTATTTTGATCCATTCCACTTTCAATTCTGATCTTGTTTTATTCTTATAAACAGTGTCTGTGCTGGCGGTCGAGGAATATGAAGAGCTTCATGAAAACTTTGAACTGGAAAAGAACCTGCGGAAGAAAGCAGAGTCATTTGCACAAGAGGTGAGTAGTCAAGAAAAGGGATCTTGTAAAATGAAGATGTTACAACTGGGCAAAAACCTACCAGCTTCTAATGACTTGATTTCAGTTCCCAGCTCTCATACAAAAGATGTCTTTAAATGTCCACATACTACTTAGTTGACTTCTGCACTTCATCCGTACATTCCCCCCCCGCCAAGGGAGTGAGAAGCAATAGAAATAAAAATTATTTACTAATTATTAAAATGTCATGTTAACTGCCAAATTTTAGGTATAGAGATGAGGTAGTTCACGATGCTACTGGAGTCAAGACGTGGGAGAGAAATCACTCAAGAGAATTGATTTCTGAAATCAAAGAGACTGCACATGCTTTTATGGAGCTTTGTGGGTGCTGAGCAGAACTGGACGCCTCCCTCTGCCACGTGCCATTGGGCCATTTACATTTTGATCAAAGGCTCACTGTGGTTTTTCAGAAATAAAAATGAGATCTGCAAATTCCATTCAAATTTATTCAAGGGAGAGGCATTTATCAGTGACCACAAGTTGCTACACAAAATATTCTTTAAGTTTATTAAGTATTCATTTGGATTTTTTGGAAGATTGTTACCAGCCTGTGCCTGTTACCTTCTTGCAACTATTTTTAAGTTTTAGGAAACCTGGATTTGTTCATTACCTATGCTTTTATGATAACTATTTCTGTAATGCAATTTCTTTAAACCTCCTGAGGTTGTGCAGGCATTATGGTTTTATTAGTGGTGTTCGTAATATCTGCAGAACTGTTATTTTAAGAAAAATTTCTAAGAATGTTAAGCATGTTCATTTACCATGCGTTATTGCAGTGTTTCCTACTGTTGCTTTGCTTTGTCTTCTGAAGTACAGAACAATTATGTGCCTCTGTTCATTAACTGACAACAGAAGATAATACATAAAGGTCTTACATCTCTCAGAAATGAGTAATTTATAAATGCATAGTTAAGGTGGTTTTTGGATCATAAAAGAATATAATCTGATATCCTGGGCCCAGAATGTTGCTTCTGTTTAGATTTGTAGCTCTACTATTCGACACCTATACACTTGGAAAGATGGTATTTACGGTAGTTTTTGTATTTGAAGAACAAACTGCCAGGCGAGCTGTTAAGTACAATGCCAAAGAAACGCTGCTTATTTGCAAACTAGTGCTTCTTGGGTTTTGGCATTATTTAGTTATTGTTTCTTCTGAATATATGGGCCCCCGTTGGTGCAGACTGACAGCGTCGCTCTTCAGTTGAGGCTTTTTGTTCCGTGACGTTCTCCCATCCAAAATGGAGTCATTCCAACAGAGACCTTCAGCCCCGCGTCAGAATCCCCTTTGTGTTCTTCCTCTCTCCCTTTGGTATCGTGGCATTCAGGGAGATTTTTAGAAAGTTTTTTTTAAAATACAGGAGTGGGTGACAACGAAGGCATTGCTCACTTGTGTCTGGGAAACTGGTAGTGTTTCAAATGACTTCAAAATTGTGTTGTCGTTGGCCTGGTTTCACATGGATGGTGTCCCTTGAGTGACTGGGGAGACACTGGGGTGTGTTCACAGGAGCTGCTTGGATTACGCTAAGGATGTCCAGGGATTTTCTGCTTGCTTTCATCAGCCGCATGTTTTCTCTGTCCCTATATAATGTTTCTGGAAAAAACCAACAAATCTTGCTGGATTTTTGCTTGAGTTTTGCAGAAGCCGCAGCGGTTGGTTGCGATAAGGTGTGCAGCGTTGAGAGAAGGAATAGCTTTGAGTAAAGGCCACACTTGCACGTTCAGTGCTTTGTGCTTGGCTCCTCAGGAGCTCTTTGAGAAAGGAAATAGGCTCCGAGTAACGCGGGCGTCACCACAGCATAGCCTTCAGAACAGCACATTTTCCTTTTTCATGTTACTGTTTGTGACATCTCAGCCTAGACGTGTCCTTCAGCTCACTGAAATACAGCCTTACTGCCTGTGGAGGGGCTTGTTTGGTGGTGGACATGTGTCTTTCTACGGGGCTGAGGTATCTGAAGCTTGCCTTGATGGGGTGAGTTGGCCCCTGTGTTCTCATCAACTCCTTTCTCCCTGGCCTGGATTTATCTTTTGGCTTTCCCCTCCTGGGGCTGCCTTGTGTCTGTGATGAGGGGAGCCCAGATGAGCGGCTGGGGCGAGCTGTGGTTGGAAGCAATGCCCTCTGTGTCCTGCCCTTCTGCCAAGCGAGGAGGATTTGCCACAGAACGTGAAGAATTGGGAGTGCAGGTGTGAGGGAGAGTGGGGTGGGTGACCGTGCACACACGTGCAGAAGTGAACACAGATGGGTGGAAAAAGGAAAGGTGAGGAGTGAGAGCCGTGGGGAGCAAGCACATATAGGAGTGAGAGAACACTTGAAAATCAGAGCTTTAGATTAAAAAAAAAAATAATCCAATACAGCTTTAATTATAGTCATGCCGCTGGCACCACCATAATATATATTTAATTAATCAAAAATGATCCAACTTCAAACATTAGAATTCATGCTCTTTAAAGATTCTAAAGAAACTGAGTAAATATTGTCAGCCGTGGTGTGGAGAGGGGGGAGGAAAAAGAAAGAGGGTTTGAAATGAGTCACAATCCATTGTGAAAGGTACAGGAATCTGCATAAAAGAACTAAATAAATAGAGTGTGTAAGGGGCGGGGGCATGGAAGAATCTGCACCTACCTGAATAAAACAGGGTTGTTAACACAGGAATCTTGGCAAGCTTAACCAGAATTCTAGTGTCATGTTTTAAGAGACACTTTAAGATCTCTCAGCTCTTTGTGGAGCCGTTTATAAGAAAACAAAGGAAGGCAGAGAGTATCTTGAAGGCCATCGCAAGAATACAGAGGCTAGCCCTGAAAAGCACTCTTCCACACAGATGAGCAAAATACAATACATCCAGCCAAAGCAAGCCAAAAGGGGAGGAACACAGTCAGAGAAGTAAATTGAAAGTTTTAGCAATGTAAAAATCCCGGGAGTTTAACAAAATAATCTGGCATAAGTGGTTTATTAAGCATACCTCCTGCCTTGCAACAATATTTTGTAAAGTGAACGGTTTATTAGTGTCGTGTGTGCTGGCATGGGGACAACCCCTGCACCTAAAGCTACTCTGCAAACCTCTCGGAGGAGAGGCAGCGAGCTCTTGGAGTTACCATTGAGCTCTCATTTTCTGTCCTCTGTATCTTAGATCAGCAGAAATGGTGTGTCACACTGCTAAGCAGGTGTGTTGGGGTTCCTCTTGCTTTTGAGGCTACCCTAGGCTTTTTCTCAAAACACACAACTGGAAAAAAAAAAAAAAAAGAAGGGTTTCCCAAGTGTTTATGGTTATCTGTAAAATAGTTTGTGGTTTGAGAGGTTGAAAGGCTGCGTTCAAAGGAGCTGTGATCCAGATGGATTAAAGAAATAAAGCGAATCTGTAATGTGCGTCGTTCATCTTTTCCTTGACTTTCCCTCCAATTCTGCATACTTATGGATGCATTAAAACAGCACACTGTATGTCTGTGTTTCTAAGTAACTATTACACAACAACGTTTGCATTTAACTTGTTAACCTCAAGATGCCTCCATTCCTTAGTCCATCCCTTACCTGGGCCGCTATACAGCTGACATCACTTAGTCTGGCACTGAGTCTTCCCTTCTTGAAAGATAAAAGGTGGCTATCATTTTATAAGACATAGGAAAAAATATTGTCATTCTTAACAGATGTCTGCCTTACTCGGGATTGCGTGCAATGGATTTGGTTATCTTGGTGACATGAGCTCCCAAATAATTCTTCCTGAGATGCATTTGTGACCTCTTGGGTTAATTTGTGAGGACTTTGGCATTAACGTGCTACATCTGGGAGTGGATTCTGCAAAACCAGCACTCACAGAGCAACTCTGTGCTCACGAGTACCGCACTCTGTGCATTGCTGAGGACAGTCCAACAGCAACTGGTATCTGAAGATAATTAATTTGCAGTCCAGCTGACTGAACTGGAAATAATAATTAAAGAGACATGATAAGTGGTTAGTACTTGAATTCTCCTGAGCTTGAATGTTACCACTTTTGAAGCATGATGTAATACTAATATGTTTCATCAAGCTTTTCCCCAAGAACAGGCTTGTGAAATGGTAACAGATGTATGCTCTAGGAAACCGTCTCTTTGGTCTCCATCTCTGGTTTGTTTTTTTTCCCCTTCTCTTTTTTGTTCAGGCAATTAATCTATTGGGGGGAAAAAAAAGTGAAGAGGTTTTCTCCTTTTTCATGTGGTATATGATCTATTTCTGAATATATTAGATGGTGTCTAAATGCTGTAAAACTGTGAGTGTTATAGAATGTATGACTGTACTTGTACCACGGCAAAAAGAAAACCATTAACTGCAGGAAATGAAGAAATAAATGACAATAGAGATTATTTTTTTTCCCGTTATTTTGGGCCTCGGGCAGTTATGCCTCAGAAGTGAAGAATGAGTCCTGTATTTTGACAAACACTTCTGTACAGAAGAGGCTGGTAAAATAAATAATACTGTGTTTTTAAGGAAGTCGGAATGCTGATGGGGATTCAGTTTTCTCACACTCAAAATGGACGCTGCAGGCACCTCTGTGGTGAGAAGCAGATGATGGACAAGAAATAGGGTTAACTCATCTACTCCCGTTCCTACCTTCTGGATAAATCAGACCTCCTCTTTTTGAGCCACAAAACTTACTGATGCTCTTGAGAAATTATCCCTTCAGAAGCTGTCTGGCAGTTAGCCAAATAACTGCAGCATCTGTGTTGTATCTTTATTAGCCTAAAATTGATGCAGGTCTTAACAGAAACTATTAACCATAAAATATTGTGAGTCATCTGGAGAGAGAGGAGTGACTGCTGCCTGCCCATTACTGTGCATCTGTCCTTTGTCATCATCTGTTGCTCGGTTTTCTGTGGCAGTTTGAAAATCCAACTGGAGTTAGTCTTTGGCTCCTCTGAAGGAGGAATTCTATGAAGGTCACAGCACGTTGCAGAAATGCATCGCTCTGGTTTTCCATACTTCCTACTTGTTTTGGTTTATTTTGTTGATGAAATCCTGTCCTGTGCCCTCCATGCCCTTGGTATTAGCCCTTTGGGTAATCTTCTCTTTCTGTCTGACATTGTGGGACGGTTTCTTTCCACAGAAGCAGTTCCCAGGTGGGGAAAAATTTATGCAGCAGACACAAATTTTTCCAATCGGAGTAAAGCCACATGCACTTAACTTGCTTCAGCACATACTTAATTTTTTCTGGATTGTGTCCTAACTGCAGAACCCATTTATTTGTTGTAGCTTTTTTCCTGAGAAGCACTTCAGACAGCTGTGAACGCACTAAACCACAAAGGATTTGTAACCCATACGAGGCTGATATTATTGCTTCATATGCAGCATTGAGCCTGAGCACAGAGAGAGCATTTCTAGGTCAATGTCCAGACTAGGAGAGTGCTTCTTAATGTATTTTAATAAGATACATCTGTTTCTCAAATCTTCTATCAAAAAAACCCACTAGCCATTGTTTCCTGCTGTAATATTTGTATGCAGTGAAGCTCACACCTGGGCTCACATGCCCAGGTGTCCTTGATGATGCCGTACAGTGAAGCAGTTACAAAGTTAGAGTATATATATATTTATTTTTTTCCCTGATTAACTAGGCTCACATGCCCAGGTGTCCTTGATGATGCAGTACAGTGAAGCAGTTACAAAGTTGGAATACATATATATATATATTTTTTTTTTTTTCCATGATTAACTGTTGTACTATTATATTTATATTTTAAACTGAGTAGCTGCTGAATTTGCCTTGACCCTACCTCTGCTGGAACTTGCTTCAGGTCTGAACACAAGACTATAAGGCTTCAGGGCACACATAATGCAGAAGACACCAGCTCCTGTAAACTGTGGCAGATGTAAATGAGTGTGTTCCTGCTCCATGGGGATGACTTACTGATTTCTCCCTCAGATGTGGAGGGGATGGAGCAGCGCTGGTAAGGACTCAAATAAGGGCCAACTGCTCAGTTGACTGATCTTCTCTTTGCCATTTGAGACTTCCAAAGGTTGACTCTGCCTTGCTATGTACCTTTTGTTATTCTATTCATAGCATTTATCACTGATTTTTTTTTTCTTTATGCAACCAATTATTACTTTATTATAACAGTGAGGATTGAAACATTCTCCTCCCTTCAAACTGTAGCCAAAACAAAAAAGTTGTTCCACGTGAGTACTCAAAGGTTGTGTAGATGGAAACGAAGCAACATATGGATATTAAAGCATTTCCTTTGGCCTCGTTTTGCTCCTGGGAGAGGAGTTAGTTGGAAAGCATCCAGTTATTCCCCGAATGGTACTTGAACGAGGATCGAAGTTCCCAGAGGCTTGACACTAACAGAGTTGCTTTCTAACTTCTTTAATGAGGAAGAATTCCTTTTTCAGCTCTGGTGTAAACAAAAACCAGCTGCAGTGAAGGCTCTGTAGGGTAATGGCTAGAGCAGGGGGGTCTGAGAATGAGGTGTGGCCCCATTAACGTCAAGGGAAAAACTTCTGTTATTTCCAGGATTTCACTCTTTCCCGCTCCCCAGTTCCTGCCCAAACTCTGCTGATGGGAAGTGACCAAGTCCCAGATTTCCTGCACTTTGGAGCTTCTGTTTGTAAAGCCATGAGGGCAATACAGGTAGCCGGTTTGCACAACACCTGGAGATTTTGTAAATTAAAATGGTAGATGTAAGCAAACTGTTGTCCTTTGTGATCTGCCTTTAGTTGCAGTTGTGGTTTCAGTAGATTCCTCCAGCGTCGCCCTAAGTTTCTAGGCATTGATTGGGATACTCTGCAGATAATTGTCTAGCAGGTGGCAAAGTCGGAACTAATCCATCAATTGGTTAAATTCCACCTAGTCTAAATAATCCTGTTAGTAGCTGTTTTGCCCTTTCAGCAGTCACTTTAATTAATATTCAGGCTTGTGCAGGCAGTCAGGTTTCTGCCCTGCTGAAGCAGGACTTGATTATTTAATTTTAAATTAGAATTAATTTCTAAGGGTCTTTTTTGTCCCGTGTCAAACACACAGAGCAACATCTCAAAAACTTGCCATCACTTTTTCACCAGCTCTCTTTCTGCTCTCTCAGCCATGACCAGCTTGTCTAGTTCTGTCCCTTCCATTTAGCATGTGCTCGTACTTCAAGGACGTGTGTTTAAGTAACTTCTGAAATGGATGGGACTCCCTGTGAGAAGTTGATTCCAGTGTATCTGATTGCAGCATCTTCTGAAATGGATGGGACTCCCTGTGAGAAACTGATTCCTGTGTATCTGATTGCAGCATTAAGTTATAAGCAACAAAGGTTTTTTTGTGGTGGAGAAATACATTTTGCTTATATTGTAAGCAGGAGCGTATTTGCAATGGCATGAAATGAATTTATAAAATGAAAATGCAGGACTTCATGTGAAACTTCTGAATAAAAAGGTTTTCACCCAGTTCTTCAAGAGGATTTTCTTTCATTTTGTTGCAGAGGAGCATGAAACAAAGTGAATACGAATTTTCTACATTTGGTGAAGTATCTGCTCAAGTTGAAGAAATCGAGTTGCTCTACTTGATTTCTTCTTGTTTTGGCAGCTTTCTGCTCCCTCAGGCTGGAACAACTCTGTTCTCTTGGTTTTAGTGGCAGAAACTTAGCAAACAAAAATGCGGAATTACCACCTCAAACTATTTTTCAGATTCCAGAAAAATGAAACCCAAATTATCACTTTGCTTTGAAAGGTCACTGTAGGTAAACGGCGATGTTTGCTAAAGGTGTTTGTTTCTAGAAAGATGTTGTTTTCTGACGGGGTTAAATAACTTTTGACTGACTTAACAGGAAAGCAGGAGGCTTTGAGACAGCGTTGAGTCCTTTAGCAGTGATTTAGAGGCCTTTATGATGTTTCAAAGATGCTGTTTCTTTTAAGAAGATAAAATGTTAACCAGGTAGATGAGTTGTGATACAAAGGCAAACTTTTACAGTTTGGGCTGGGTAGCTTTGATTTTGAATTTCTCTCACCTTTGTTTTTGCCACAGCCTTATTAGTGTAAGGTAATGCAAACATAATTGGTTTGACTGGCAGAATTTTGGGCCGGGGAGCTGATGTCCAGTGCACAATTGCACCACGCCACAGTGGCCTGTGTACTGTGGTAAATTAATTTTTGTTTGTTTTATAGCAACGTATAGTGCTAGAGCCTGTATTCATTGTTTCCTCTTCATCGGATACTTCCAGTCCTTTCTTGCCTACCCCCATGGCACAGCTCTGCCCATTGAAGTGTTCGTTGGAGGTTTTATTAGTATTAGGGCCGCATCAATTGACTCTTCTTGGCACGCAGGGTCAGGCAGGCTGTGCTGAGAGTTAAAAGTTCAGCCTGGTCAGCAGGTCTGTACGTTCAGCCAGAAGAGAGAGTTGCTTGCTGAGAAGACTCAGTTGAAGTGGGATGGAATGCCTGCTGCAAACCTGCACCGGCTGCTCGTTCTTTAAAATTCAGTTATATTAAAAGTAAATATATAAATCATGGAACATTGCAGTAGCACTGGATGGGAAGAAGCCATATGTTGTATCTTTAATTTTGGTCTGCGAACAAGTAGTATGGGGACCTGAAAAGATCTCCTGGAACTTTTGTATTTCTAGTACTTAATTCTTAAAATATCTTCTTGCTTTTGCTGACCTATACAACAGTGTTTTTACAGTCTGGGGGAGTGTCTGTGTTCTCAGGCTGTTCTCTGTTCTGCCATAAGTGGCACACTCTGCTGACCTGTGCACTCATCTGAAAGCTCAGCCTGACCCAGGCCTGTTTCTGCCTTGAGAACAGGCACAGCCCAGTTTGTCAGGAGTGGAAACCCTTGTTGCCTGGGGGGGTAACATACCTGAAAGAGATGTCAAGATGCAGAACAAGTTCATTAGGTATTTTTTTTGGCAGGAAGCAATCATTTATTTCCCCGAGTTCCTAAACATTCTGGAAAAAGCATATCTCTTGCACAGAAACTGCATGTGCCGTGACAGCCTCTGTGCCTCTTAAGTTAAGCCTAGAGAAATGTGTGATATTTTTATCAATGTCATGTCTCGAGCCCATTTGATTCCCCCCTGCACCTTCCTGAATGTATCCATTCCCCACATCAAAAATATAACTGGGGAAAAGGGAAAAAGGCAAGCATCAGAAGTAAAAAGCTGAAATTGCCCTGAAATGCCTTCTCCTGGGGCGAGTGCATACACTGATTACACAAACATGGACTGAAATTCATTTCCCAAAGGCACTCCATCATTCATATGACCAGGTAACCCTCAAATCAGTAGGCTTTATGCCAAGGCTTGCAGATGCGGTTGAGGAGAAAGCTTGTGAATTCATAGACCTTTTTCCTGCCACTCAGAGTTCTTTTAATCTCTCTGTTGCTCTGAGAATAAGGATCAGATTGTTCCTATTTCCAGGAAATAAAATTCAGAGATGTGTTTAAATTCTGAATGCTGCCAACCTGTGGGTAGTTGAGGTGTAGCAGTGGGAGGTTCTCTCAGCAAACACCTGGTTCCTTTCAGTGTGAGCTCAGCTCTTGCAAATTTTGCTCTCAAACTTCCTTTCCTTCTCACCTTCTTCCCCTCTAACATCTACCAGACTAACACAATGTCAGTTTTTTTCATTTTCTTTCCAATTGCCATGTTTCCCAGGATAGCATTTGACTGTGCTTAACTATTGTTTTTGTTGGGGGTGGGTTTTGTTTTGGCAGATGTTTATTGAACAAAACAAGATGAAAAGGCAAAGTCAGTTGCTTCTGCAAAATTCTGCTCCCGATCAGCAGCTTTTGAAGGCTTTGGATGACAATGCGAAGCTAACCCACACGTTAGAAGAAGAGAGGCTTCAACATCAGCAAAAGGTAAAACAGGATTACTTTTCATCTCTTGCAGAAGTCTTTGAAAGCCTCCTGAATTTAAGGAATGTCGTGTGTTTGTGATGTTCCGAATTATTTGAGATCTCGTCCCCCATAAAAGTTCACTGTCTAAAAACTGTAGGTTGTGATTCCTGTCTTCTGGGTCACTGGTGAGACAGAAGTACAAAACCTGAAGGGTTTTCATCCTGAAGGCTCTGGTTTAGTCACGTATTTTATTCTGGCTGCCATAAAGTGCGATTACAAGCATTAAGTCAAGTTCCATTAAATAAAGAAGAGACGACAGGAGAATAGTTTGGATGTTGAGTAATACAAAGGGTATTTTGGGGGAGTTTTGCCGTAGCTGTGAGGCCTGTTCTTAAAGCTCTGGCGATAGAGTGATGGTAGGAGCAGGTAGGCAGTTCCTGTGCTTTCATCACTGCAGCAGCACCAAGGCTCTATGTAATCTCACGTGCCTCTGAATGAGTGTTTTGGAAGAATAATTTCCAGTTCATAGAAAACCTCTGCAGCTTCGGCTCCTTAAATCTAGAGCAAAATGTATATATTTAGGGAGTTGGGGAAGTGATTGCTACTTTGCACCTGAATGCTGCCTCCAAACCTGATACTCCATAATTCACCCACTGGCATCTGCACGCGTTGAGACGAGGGAGTTTAAATAACCAACCTGCCAGTGCAAGCAGTCAGTGAGAGAACAAAAATGTCAATGTTCCCATGCTTCAGATGAAGAACTGTTCTGAAATTAAATTCTAATTATGTGATAAAAACCCTATAAAAAGAAAAAGCGAACATCTTACAGCTTAAGCACTTTAGAGCTACAGACATATTCTAAAGAAGAGATGAAACAAATTAGGATCATAATAGAAAATTCTGACATCTCTCAAAAAAATCTGTCCAGCTCTCAGTCAAATGTGTCATCTTTCTGGGACTTGTAGTTCACTCCTATATTATAACATCATGTTTTCAGGAATAACTGTCCCTAATGGGTTATTTGTCAAAAGAAAGGACAGAAAATAGCTTTTATTGTAATGAATACTATTGTTTTCCAACTGCAGATCAAAGAATTGGAAGAGCAGCTGGAGAATCAAGCGCTGCATAAGGAGATCAGTCGTCTTAAACAGCAACTAGAACTTTTGGAAGAAGATAAAAAGGAACTAGAGCTTAAGTGTCAGAATGCAGAAGAAAAAGCTAGAGACCTAAAGCACTCAGGTAAAATAATGCAATAATTTTCATTTTAGAGGTACAATGAGGGAGGTGAGTGAACATCTTTATTATACAAATATATACATGTTACATTTGAGACCTCAAAAGCAACAGGTTTCGTGTAGCTGACATCCAGACCTGGGCTTCACCAGACAAAGTACAGCAAGTGCCTTCAACCTCAGAATTGTCATGTCCAGAATAGAATGTGTATGGAAGAATAACCTTGTAAAACTTCTATAAGGTATAAAAATACTGTTGTTAGATTGCCCTGAGTCTTACAGATGGGTATATACATGGGAATGGGTTTCTCTGAGACAGACACAAATCTTCCTAGTCAGTCAGAATGTATCCTCTTACCTAGTTATTAAAATAAATAAAATGGATTACTCTGCTCTTTTTTATTTTGGTGGGTTTTTATTTTTTTGCAAAGGTGCACAGTGATTTATCAGACTGTGGAGTCTGCATTGTATGAATTGTACAAAAACATCCCATAATTATCGAGCTACCTAACCATTTAACAGCCTTGCAGCAGAAGACACCGGTGGAAATAAAGGCCTGATTTAGCTCTTCATCTTGACATGTGAGAAAACAGTTTCTGCTGATGTGAGAATATCTGGGGGTTAGTTTTTTTGTTGTTTGGTTTTTTTTTTTTTTTTTTTTTTTTTTTTTTTTTTTTTTTTTTTTTTTAAGCAGATATTAGAAAGGGAAGTCCTGCTTTCAGAGCCCTCCAAAGGGAGGGAGCCAAACAAATCCTTTGTGACTCAGATCCATGAGAATTTTATATCTAAATCTCTGTATTTTGGTCAAATACTTTGTTTCACATCAAGTGACTGAGAGGAAGGAAGCACTCTTGCTGGCTGGTGTGTGTCTGTCTCTAAAGATTTAAACCAATCCCTGAGGAGTACAGACAGGAAAGAGTCACAGGATATTTTGGAGGGGACGGCTGTTGCAGGGCAAATGTTCCTGCAGTTATTGCCTTCAGGATGGTGCCGAGCTTCTCTGCAGCATCCTGTCTATTAAATGTGAAAAATTCTGACCTAATGCTCTGTATTTAAAATTGCTTTTAAAAAGGGCCCCTGGTGTGTGTGACCTTCCAGTCCTTGTTCAACTCAGGGTGCCAGTTGTGAGTGTGATGCCTGGTCAGGGAAGCATTTGAGCCCCGTCAGAGGAGGCCAAAATTCCTGCCCTTAGTTATGACTCCACATATAGCCATGCTTTGCTGAAACATAACCTGGATATGTGCTTCAGAAGGAATTTATCAGCATAAAGAATGTACTTGGAATTTATAGTCACTCAGTTGATAATTTTTTTTTTTTTTTTAATTTAAAAGTAAATGTTAGAGGTTGTAGTTCTAATATGAATCCATCATTACGCGAACAAAGAACCACATCCACTTTGGAAATCATATTCTGTACTTCTGCTGTAATTTCTACTGTATTCAGAACAATTGCTAACAATTTTTGTAACTAAAAGAAATTTAAGATGTTTTTTATTCTATTTCTGCTCTTCCCCAGTTAATTGCACTTGACAACATTTCAAGCGCAAGAAAGTAATTTCCCCATTTTAGATCTGACATGAAAACAGGAGAGGAAGAATCCGTTCTGCCACTGCCCAGTTTTGACCATTTCTATGGGAAAAATCCACACCATCAGCAAGACAGAGATTAAGTCTGGAACCTGAAACCGTTCATTTCTTTCATCCCTTGTTAGTTCATTCTCAAATGCTACCCCAAATAGACTGTCGCAGGGATGTGATAAACTTTTCCCTGCTCCATCATTTTATATGAAGAATTCTGTATAAGGGAGAGAGTCATTTTAGTTTCAAAAGTGACTCAGGTTGGAGGTAACTGGTTTAATGAGAATCCTGTGCATCTAGGCATTGTTCGTGTTAGAAAATATTGCCAAAAACAGGAATTCCTAGCAGCTGTGTGGTTTAGTCTTGTTGTTTGTTTTTTAGTTAATTAGTAGCTTTTTCGCTTCAACCATCAGATTTGGTTTTTAGAGTGGATGTGAGACACCAAGAGCTCACTCTGGTTTGTTTTATTGCTCTTTGGCAGTTGATGAACTTCAGAAACGAGTACAGCAGTCTGAAAATCCTCCACCGCCTCCTCCACCGCCGCCCCCTCCTCCTCTTCCTCCTCCCCCTCCTCCGAACCCTATACGGTAAGTGCTTAAATCAAGGGGCACAGCAGTAAAGCTTTGCTGAAGCAGAATACATTACATGAGCTTGCATCCAAGCAGCAAGAGTGTCTTTAAAGAAAAAAAAAAAACAAAAAAACAAATGCTTTCTCCATCTGTCTTGGGCTCTTTACCAGCAGGACGCACTCTGTGCCCCACCTGCCAACAGACTCACACCCTCACCAGTTCTGAACAGTCTCTGCCGTGCCCAGCCTAACAAATGGTCTAGACTGTGACTTTGGAGGAGGAGGGATACCTGTCTCTCTAAATTTAGGAGACTATTTTTTTCCTATTCACCTGATAGCTGTAATTATAGACTTGTGAGGTGCTTGTCTGAAGCTACTGCTGAGAAACCCCCTTTGAACCAAAGGGTATGTTGGATTACTGGGTGTCCCTTCCTGGCAGATACTGGTAATGAAAGTGCAGACTCTGTTGAGTTCCCACAATTGCTTTCATAAGTTAAAAAGAAAAAAAAAACAAACACAAAACCAGAATATCACTACCCTATCATCAAGCAGTTTTGGGTGAAATTATCAAGATTATGCGTGATTTTTGCAAAGGACCATAAAAGAAGCTGAACAATATACAATGTGTCAGGCATTAGGTCCAAAGTAATTAACTAAGCCCTAAAGTGTGCTTAGTTAATTTTAGGAACTCGACTAATCTTCATGTTGACTGCTTGGTTTTAAAAATAAACAGACTTTGGTGACACTTTTTAACCACCTGTAATAGAAATTACATACAGGATTATTGTTAACTGCTGTGTTAAATATATGAATAGCGATAATTAGTAGGGAGAATTCGTCCCTTTACGCATCTTGCTTTGTTTTTAGAAATCTAAACTAAATGTGTTACAAACAATTGCATTTGGTCTTTTGCTGCTTTTATGTCCATTAACCCATGGGGCTTGCTCGCTTCTTGCTCAGTAATGTGTAGCATGAATTAACTGTATGGGATGTTATGGGGTTTCCTTTGTTTTATTTTGTTTAAGTTTGTGCCCTTTATTATTTGGAATAGACAACAGTATTCATTTTAAACCCTACAGTAGCTAAATCAGAGCATTTCCTTCAGGCACCGTGAATTTTACTTGCGTAGGGGTGGTTTCAGAGCCTGGGCACTGGATCCTGCTTTTTTCTGGGACAAAGTTTTGACCCTTTATATGTCTGTAAGGAGCAATATTCAGTGGGGAGCGATAGGCCCCACAGACACATCAGGTGCATTTAGGAGCTTATACTTGGGCTTTAAGATGAATCATTTCCTTGCCTGGACTTTTACGTTTTGACTATAGTGAAGGGATAATTATTTGACACTGTAGGAAGATTACAAACTTGGAGTTGGTGAGGAGATACTGATCACCATATTTAAGTGTCCTCTGGAGAATAATACTTCACTTCAATATCCACAGCTCTTCCTTCCTTTTATTATGCCGGAGCAGCTTCAATTTGTCATGTGTCACAATGAGACACTGTCTTTTAATATTCAAATCTTGGAGTGTTTTGATTTGTGCCTAATGTCTGTTAAAAAGCAATAAATTTCTCTGGTGCATTTTGATGGGAGGCATTGTGGGGGGTAATTCAGTACATACATCTGCAGTCAAGAACTGTTAAATGAGCCTTTTGTAAGTAGCTGTATAATCAGGTGTAAGCAAGCTGTTTGTGTGTCATGTTCAAGTTCATTCTGACAGTGTGTAACACAGCACAGAACGACAATCCGCAGTTTCATTTTCCCCAAAGGTCTCTCATGTCTATGATTCGCAAGAGATCTCACGCCAACACCAACGTGAGCAAGAAGGAGAAGCCTCCTCAGCAGGAGTCAGGTACGGCTCATCCTTTCTCAAGTCATGCAGATTATTAAGCAGGTACTGCAGATAAAGCTCATGAAAGTGAGCTGTGTGTACAGATAGGGATGCAAATGCTTATAATAGTCAACATTAACAACTGCTGTCCGTGTCCCAGCATGTTCATCTACCTTGTGGTCCAGAACTGTGATTGCAGCCCAGTCATGTGTGCTCTGAGATAGGAAGTGGTGCTTTTGGCATTGCAGCTTTGGTACTGCGAGCTTCCTCAAGATCCCGAGCAAATTTGTGTAGCCCTCGTAGCCATCTGTGCCCTTATAACTGAGCTGGTGATCTGCATCCCGTTTATTTTTTTCCAAATGGATTTTAGTATGAACAATTTTTGAGGCCACAGGTCAAAACCATTAACTGAAAAAAAATTTCTATCTTCATACTTCTGGCTCTCATCAGATATGTCACTGAGTTGATTTCATTCACTGAGGTGGCAGAAAAATTATCTTTCTTTTTTTTCCCCTTGGGGAGAGGGTGGTTGTGTTATTATGGGCTCACAGAAGGACCTGACAAGATACGACAGCGTTGAGAGGCTCAGCCTGTGCCTCTGCAGTGGGGACACGGCAGTGTGTAGCTGCAGACAGGGGATGGCCAGGGCTTTGCTCTTCCACAGGGTATCTGGAAAAGGCAGAACAAACCCAGCAATCATTAAGCAGAGACCAGGTTATATACAGGATAATACAGGGAAGTTTCTGATTTCCAAATGGCTTCTTGTTTGTGATTTCTTCTGTCTAGAGCCCCTCTACAGAGCTGGTTTGTTAAATGCTTCAGTTTTCATCCCTCTGTTCATATCTTATGAAATTACCACTCAGAGTTGACTGTAATGCTAATCCTTTAATAATACTGAAAACCTAAAACAAAACAGAATCTTGCACTGAGGTGGCTCTGCGTGCAAGTAGCAGCTGAAATTGCATTTTATTGTCGTTAATGGAAGCTGGAAACTTAGTAGGTTGAGAACAGGAGTTAAGTACAGATTTACAAATGATCATGAGTGCCTAAAGAGTCAGAGCTAGTTAGACAAGCATTGCCAGTTAAATAACCAAGGCTTTTCTTGCTGTTTCTCTCTTCTTTCTGAAACAGCAGGAGTTTGTTTGTAATGAATTGCTTAACTCATTTGCTGCCACTTAAACAAAGGAGGAGGCTGCAGAAGGGAACCTGGCTGAAATTATAGGTGTAGGGTATAAATGTTAAAGAAAAAATGGCAGTTAGCAGACTGTAATGGTATGTAAGCATGGCTGGATTGTTGGATGGGGCCAACAGGCAGAAAGTGGGGGAAAGGAAGAATTACCCCTCCCGTTTTTCAGGTGAGGAACTGAGGAATGGGGTGACTTGGGCAGGTCCCTGGGGGAATCTTTGGGAACTGGGTACCAGTCTGAGAGAAATAGGGTTGTTGGTCTGGGTAAAATAATTAGAGAAGTGACCTTGCACCACGATCTCTGATGATGAAGCAATCTTATCCTTCAGTAGAAGTTCAATTATGTCGCCTACATTTATCAGGTTTCCTTACCTTGAAACATCCTAGATGTTTTGATTACACCTTTTTGTTGAGACTGTTACAAACAGTGATTGCAGGAAATACCATGAAATTCACTGTAAGTTCTCTACACCCCATTCTTTCATTATTTATTAGCAAACTTTTAACAGTTCTGACCTTTCTTCAATCACATATAAACTGCTTCTTTTCTTAATAGTTGAGCTGTTCTTAAAATAAAAATAAAAAAGGGGGAAAGTTCTTTCTTGATCAAGTTATTATATCCAACTTGAGGCTTGTTTTGACCCTTGTTAAGGACTTAGAATGAGTGGTTTCTATCCCATACCACCAATTAAGCTTTTATATTTGAAACAGCCTGTTTGTGAAATTAAAGCCTGACATTAAATCGGCTTACAATACAGAAACTGCATTTCTATGAATCATCAATAGTACCCTGACAAGTGAGAGAGCGAAAGTCTATTTAAAATTCCTGTTATATAAGGTACAACGTTGCAGCTTTGAATAGCATCGACCTTATTTCTCCATCTATTTGCTTTAAGTACTCTTTTTTTTTTCCCTTTTTGGTATGGCATGTTAAGTGTCTTTTGTTCCATTATCCAGAACACTGATAAGTTAACAGGTATTGTTTAGGTTCATCACACAGCTTCCCATTTCATCTGAGTATTTTGCAGTCCTGATACTGAATCTTTTAAAAAAGGCAACCATTTCCTTTCATGGTATTTGAAGTTTTACCCTCTGACTTGATGCAGTGTTCTTTAAATGTGTGTTTTTAGCTCGGTCTGAGATGTTGGTGTATCCTCCAGCGAGGTTCTTAAACCCACGTGAAATAGGAGACATGTTGAGGAGTCCTGTAACGGGCTGTATTTAGGCCTGGCCATGGGGTGTGATCAGCTGCTCCTGTGTCCATGAAGCTGTGGAAATTTCTGCTGAACCACAGTGGAGAGAGAGAGTGGTAGCGGGGCCATATCCTTCAGTCCTTGGTGCTTCAGCCCATAGCACTGAGGCTTTGCAATTCCTAAACAGTTATAGGAGCTTTGGGTTTGTCGGGATCTGGGCTCTACTTCTGTCCAAACTTCTGCAGACTCTGTGCTTTGGTGTTGGCAAAGTCCACGGCTGGATCCTCACTGTGTGTAAATTGGCTTTTTATCCTTGAAGAGCTTGGGGCAGTTTAGCTGCCAGCAAAGATCACTAATGGTGCTGTGTCCAGAAACTAGAATTCCTGGTAGCTGGAGATGAGGACACTGGGTTCTGCTACCCACGTAGACATACACAGTATATGGTGAAGTACCTCTTTGTGGTAGGGAAAATTAAGGATGAAACAGTGGTACTGTAAGAAAGCCCTGTGAACAGGGTCTCCCACTTATGGGGAGAACAATAAGCCTATATATTTATGCTTGTCCTTTGCATTTTTAATAAAACTGAGAAGCAGCATGGATTTGGATAGTACACTCATCACAGACACAGGCAGGAAGACCTACTGCAGGGAGTATAACGAAGTACTTTGTGTATGTAAATGCTGTTTCATCATTAAAACTAATTTATGATGAGGGTAACTGGCTATATATTGCAAGCAAGCTGTTTAGGAGGCTGTTCAACATGGCCTTTTCTTTGTGCTATTTCTTTGTGGTTCATATCTGGAATGTGATCTGCTCTTTGATTTTTGGAACAGGTGAAGAAGTTACGGATCTGAAGAGACAAGCTGTTGAGGAAATGATGGACAGAATTAAAAAGGGAGTTCATCTGAGACCAGTCAACCAGTCAAGCAGACCTAAAACAAAGGTTTGGAATAAAAAGCACAGCAATAATATTAGCTAAGTACAGTAATTTACGCTGAAAATAGATCAGGCTTTCTGTAAAACATTCAAAAGAAGACATTTGCCTCACCTCATTTGCTTTGCTTGATTCTGAATAAAATTAATTAGAGCAGCATATATCTGAAGGAGAGAAAAAAAGAAGTGAAGCCAACAGTAAGTAAATAGAAGCCCAGTTTCTTTGACACAGAAAGGAACCGAGTGCGAACATCTTGTAAACAAACAGCTACTGAGAAACTAAAAGCACAGAGGGAATAACTGACTTGGGTAAAGGGGGAGATTGAGAAATAGACTGTGTTTAGCAGCATTTTTTCCTTTCATCCAACACTTAGCACAAATTCATGACTGTGGCTACTATAAAATATTACTTGCCATCTTCACAAAAGCATAATCTTTCTTTATGTATACACTGTGATTTGTAATGTTGTGAGCTAAGACTCTTCCCTTCATCTATAGAAGGAAACAGCCTGAACTTTAGCTGTGTGCCCGTGAGAGGAGGGAGCAGAGGAACATCACACAACTGCAGACCCTTGTGCCACGTCTGTCTTCAAGCACAAAGTCTGTCATGGTCCATTTCACCGGGTTTATAACGTGCTTGTGTTGTGTTTGTTTACAGCCAGAAACACCAAAGCCCTCTGAAAGTGCAATGAAAGAATTAAAAGGGATTCTGGTAAGAAAACTTGTCATTTATATTTCAGTTTTTAATTCTTATTGAGCTGACAGGGTCTTCTGTGCAAAATAGGTGAGTGTTTGCGAGTTCTGCATCGGGGTTTGGGTTTGAAGCTGTAGAGCATTTTTGGAGTGAATCCCCCGATTCCACTTTTGGCTTTGGTCTGACTGGAAGATGGGTTTTGGTCTTGCTAATGGAATTTATTTAGGAGAGAAAGAGCCTGTTAACTCTGCTGTGGATTTGTGTGTTCCTGCCACTAGAGGGGATGTTGTGGTTTGCACCTGCCATTGGGAGCTCTCAAGTCCTGGCAGGGGGGATGCTCAGGGAGAGAGAAGCACCTGAATAAATCTAGTCCAAGGTAAAGCCCCTGAAGCGCGTGTATAGTAGATGTAGGGTTCTCCTCATCAACTCCTCTGAACTCCTGCTCTCTCCTGAGGCACCAAATTTCTTGTTAGCATAGATGGAGCCTAAATAGAGCAAGAGCTCTCTAGTCTGTAGGCATTTATGTGTAGAAAAATTGATTCTGGATAGCTGTGTACATACACATTTATCACTAAATAAAAACATTAGGTGTGTGTTTGGTCCTGCTCGGAGCAATGTGCTGCCTTTGCTCCTGTTCTGTCCTTTACTCATACGTTGTATTTCTGATTTAACTGTTTGCTGCTTTTGCACAAGCACTAAAATTGTATCAAACAGTCAGGAGAAGCCATAGTTCTTGCTCCCTGACTTCCGTGACCCTGAAGCTTTTAAAGCTGGAGCGCAACTTTAGCACATCAGGTGAAATTTTGCCTTTGTAAGGTGAAATAGGGTGAAATTCTGCCCATATTGAAGCAAAATGCTTCACATCCACTCCCCAGCAGGTAAGGCTGTTTTTCTAATCATCCGTGATAGCTCCTAAACAGCCCTTATAAAAATAACTCCAGCATTGTCTTGGGCAAGACAGTACGGCAAAGAGTGCAGCCACTGCGATGGTGACAGGCTGTGCTGTGATTTAAAATCACGAGTGTGGCACCAGTGACACATTAAACTTACTGTTCCCCCAGTCGTGTGAAAGCAGGGCAAGAAGGAAGAGATGATTTAGAGAGTCACCAGGCCTTAGTGCTGAGCTCTAATTAGAGGGGCGCATAATTAAATGGGGCAGTAAATAGAAAAGGAATACAGTGCAACACAGAGATGATGTTTGAAATGGAACGCTGTGAGTACAGGCATAGTCTGATAGGGTTTGCTGCTTGGACCAGTGAGGGTTGGGCTCAACGATCCTGCCGAAGGTCCTTTCGTTTTCTAATAGCTGTTTTATTTCTTTGACGCTGTCTCGCTGACATCAGGGGAGGTTTGATTATGTGCTTCAGAGGGAGCGGAAAGAAACCTGCAGTCACTGTGCTTCTGCATCGAGCTCGTTGCTTTCCAGCCCTTCAGGATATTTGCAGTATAAGACAAACTATATAAAATCCAATTCCAGTCGATTCTTGAGACCGATCATTATGCACAGTCAGACAACAAACATGGGGGTGGGATGTGATGGGGTAAACATTTGTTGTTACGATGCTAATTATGCATTTCATGTAGACCTCCGGATAATTGTTACAAACAAAGCACATTTATGTTCTGTAAATTGCAGAGTTTGAGTGACTCCGTTGCACAAGTTGCTTTTGCACGGGAGTGTTTGTCCAGATCTGGAGTGCACTACTCATTAATAATACACCTGCTCACTTATATTGCAAATAGTTGCCAAAGAAAATATTTTAACTTTTGGGCAGGGGTGATGAATTAGTAGCTGAAAGTAGTATGGCTTTTGCAACTTGAGATGCCATTTGTTGTTGTCATTTGCTATTTCTGCTGAGAAGTTACGTGCTTGTTGACAAAAGGTGTTAAGAATATCTTATTTATGCTCTGGAGAGATGCTGCGTGACACGTTTTAGGAGGCTGAATAAATGGGATTCCTGGGGATTCCTAGAGATTGTAAGACTCAGAGGAAGAATGAAATAGCAAACGGGTCCTGAATTTTCAGTTGCATCGTAAACATTTTGAGGAAATTTTACAGTCAAGTGGCTGCCGATCCCGTAATTGGCTCTTGTCTAGTTGGGAAATGCATGGAGTGTGCACTCTGTGCGCGTTAAATATGGGAATTTGGGAGGGCTTCATGCTTTGATCAAAGCCTTTTTTTTAAATTTCCTTAAGAAAAGTGCTGCTGGATTGCAGGTTAGCTGGTACCAAATACTAACCTTGGTATAAGGCAGTAAGAGTGTGGATTTCTATTTTGTATGTATGACAAAAACATTTCAACTTGAGGTCTGTTCCTGTGCGTGAGTGTGGTCGTAGGCTCAGGTTTGTGCCAGATCAGCTGGGTTGAAGGACATAATAAGATGGTGCAGCTGCAGTTGGTACATACTGACTTCTGCAGATGTGTGTCCACGCTGGGATGCAGCAACACAGGACCATGCTAAAAGAGAAAATGTGCTGGAGCAGTAAAATACGGATCTTCGGCTTTTCCTAAGAGAGATTAATTATGGGCATGATAACACTCCAGCAGTTTTTTAAGATCCTTTCAATATTGAGACGGAGGACGTTGGCATTTCCCTGCAAACAGCAGAGTTTGTTCATTAGTGATCCTGAGCATCCTCCTTAAGCCTGACACCAGCCCTCTAAGGTGAAGGTAAGAATCACAGAATCTTCTAGGTTGGAAGGGACCTTAAAGATCATCTTGTCCAACCTAATTTTGACAAAAATAAACATGGTTAACCCCTGCCTAGGGAAATCCAAGTAAGGGGAGGGTGGTGAGCTGGGCCCCAGGTGCTCTCTGCTCTACTGGTCTAGAATTGCAGGTGCTTCTCTGCAATTTAAAAAGGCTCTCATGTTGTGCGTATGGGATGTTTGGCACGGCATAATACATCCTCAGAGAGCTTTTCATCCCTGTTTCTTGCCACAGGAAACATTGAACAAATCCACTAGTTCCCGAAGCTTGAAGTCCCTGGAAACAGACAGCGGTGAGACAGAGCTGGAACGAGTTCTGCGACGCCGGAAAGTGACCACTGACCAGGACAGTGGCAGTAAGTGGCCGGACTCCTTCTTAGCCCTCTTCCTCTCCCTGCATTAAGTAACTCTTGAAGCTTTACTTTCTCTTCCAGACCATTGCCATTTCAGCCATTTCGGAGAACTCTGCTAACTTCTGCAGTGGCTCACTTCCCCGTCGCGCCTGTCGCTTTTCATCCCCATTTTCTCCAAGAGATGCCTCTGTCAGGATTTTCCGCGCACGCAGCCGTACACACACAGGTTCCTCTGTCCTGCCTGGGGCTCAGACATTGTTATTGGAGTTAATGGTCTGAGCCTACTGGGAAAATACTCTTGAAAGCAATGGTAACCAGAGAAATGAGGGTTTAGAACTGATGATTTGATTTAACCTCTTCAGCAGAGGAAAAGCCTGCAGTTTTTAAGCTGTTCTTTACTGTCATCAGCTGTAAGAAATTGTTGATGTTCTCCCTGGTTAAAAACAGTCTGTGAAAGTGTGAGTCCATGCCACAGTCGATGCCGATGTGGCTGGTTTTAATGCCACGGTGTGGTTTTAGCTTGGACTTTGTAGACAGACAGTTCCCTGACTGCTCCTTAGTGTGAGGACAGGCGTTTGTGTGGTTGGGCCGGCTCTCACCCGGCTGCGCTTCGGGCTGGGAGGGCAACAACAAGCTGTGAGTTGGTAGCAGGACTTACTAGAGGGCAACAACAAGCTGTGAGTTGGTAGCACTGCGTGGGCAGTGGGACTTACTGTCCCAGAAGGGAAGGGGATGGAGAGCACAACTGTGTCAGTAGAGCAGGCAAGAAAGGGTTAATCTTGGCGGGAAGAGCAGAACCTGCAAAAACGGTATTTGGATACTCTCTACGTGCTGGACGATGTTCCTTAAAATTCCCTTTTTGATTTCTGCAATTAGCTTGGATTCTGCTGTGCTTGTGTGTCTTTTCTGCACCAGTCAGTCCGGGTAACGGAAGCATTAAACTTTCTTTGGGTTTTAGGTCCCACGGGCACCTTGGCCACATCAGAATCAAAATCTCTGCCTGTGCTAGGTTCGGGAGCCAGTGCCGCACACACAGCGCTGAGCAAGAAAGACCTGGAGACAGAATTCCCTCCCAAAGTACCCGACTCAGGTCCTGTCTCTGACCAGCCTAAGGGTGCCACAGGCTCCAAGCCCACGCTACAGTAAGTAGAAGATGGATTTCTTGATGTATTTAAGTGCCAGATCTGTTTAGCTGGTGCATTTTAAAAATGATTTAATACCAATTTTGGTTAACAGGATAAATGTAGAGTCTGCAGCTCTTTAGCACTGACTCCTCAAACAGTTTGCAGTCTCACGTGGAGGTAGAAATAAAATTGAATTCTCTGTAATAAAGTTCAAATAAAAGTTCATCTTCTCTGCCAAAAAAAAAAATCCTCAAGAGTTTTTAAGGAATAGCAGGGTGAGGGGTTTTTTTTTTTTTTGAGAAGAGGGATGAGAGTTACATGGTTAACTCTTGATTTTTTAAAACGGTAGTTCTAGCACAATATTTTAAAAATTAGAATCATGTAAATCATACTGATCTGTGTGCAGGGCAGTTTCTGTTGGACCAAAACGAATCCTGACTATTACTCTTAAATGTTTGTTGGTAAAAATTCTGCATTCCCTTGGAATCTCAAGATTAAGAGTTGTTGTCATCATCTTTAAAAAATCTGCATTCCCTTGGAATCTCAAGATTAAGACTTGTCATCGTCGTCTTTAAAAAAATACAATTAGTGGTGCATTTGCACAGAAAGGCAGAAAAACCTCTTGTCACAAGAGATTGAAGACTCAAAGTGCCCATTAAGCATCAAAGAGTTAAATCTGCTTCAGAAATACTTATTTCAGAGAGATCCCATGAAGCATGGGATTTTTTACAACAGCAAGCTTCAGAAATACTTATTTCAGAGAGATCCCGTGGAGGATGGGTTTGTTTTACAACAGCACACACCAAGCTCCTTTGGAAATGAGGCTGTGCATTTGCTCTGGTTCCCTCGCCAGGTTGTTTGTCAGTTTGTCACTTCAAGAACAGGAAATGGATGGGAGAAATCAGATCAGCAGAATATTGTAATCATGGCTAATTAACCCCCTAATTTCCTGCTCCATCAGTTAAAAAATACCACCAGCACCAATTCTAGCAAGTCTTCATTGCTTGGTTCAAAGGAGTAAGTCACGACAAATGAGCTGGAAATTCAGTTCAGTTTCTATTTTTCTGAACTGATATTTACTTCACTCTCCTGCAGGTACTTTTATCATTTATTTTTGAATGGATAAAGAGCCCAATTTCCTTTTGTGCCCTACAGTTTTATTTAATTCACACCAAGTTTTAAAAGCAGAATGCCTTTTCCAATCATACGTCTTTTTCCCTTTTATTTCATTTAAGTATCCCCAGAAGAAAGGTGATCTTCATTTTAATTTAATCAGAAAGATGAGGATTTGTTCGATGGTTAATTTGATCTGAATGATGCCATTGCATTTTCTTGAACTGCTACCCTGACAGAAAGGCGAGGTTGTTCCTGAAAAATACTGTGTTTGTAGTTTGTGGATTTCTATAATTTTGAACAGATAACCTTAATCAGAAAATACAGCAACTCCTACCACCTTTTGTCTACCTTTATTCCACCGAACTAAGTGGAAATTGCATTTACAAGAAAGGAAATGAAATAATTGCAGGCCCCAAGGTCTCGCAGAATGCACGGTGAATTGACAGTGAAAAGGATCTTGTGTTGACAGTCACAGTTGTTATGTGTTATAAAAGCGAACGTGAAGCTCAATTTATTTCTCAGCTTGCCTATTCAGTGACATCCTAAAAGACACATTTCACTTTAATTTATCTGTTTAAAGCATTAAAACAAATGTGGTGGGCCGGATCCCTTGGTGCTGCGGGGCTTCTTTGCGCCGAGTCACTGGTGTAAATGGGCTTAATTGGAAAGGCTCCTCATTGAGGATGGTTCTCCAGCGAGAGAGAAGGTGCTGGTGCTCATACCCTTGGTTGGCTGGGCTGGCAGGGAGGAGCAGGAATAACTCAATGCTTCTGTACCACCTCAAACTGCAGTTACATTTCTTGTGTCTCCTGGGCACTGTTTGCAGCAAAGGTCAGTAGAAGCAGCCTCCAGGCTCCAAGGTGTGTAAGTGCTGTTTTGAAAGAGGGCTCCTTTGAAGCAGATGTGAGATGGAAGTTCATTTGTCTGACAACTCAGCTCTGTAATGAGGCGGTTTTCTGGGCTTCCCTGGGTACATCTGTGCTGGTGGTTGAGTGTGGATCAGCAGAACGCTTCTGAAGCAAAGCCATGGAGTGGTCTGTGTGCATAAGCTGGATGCCTGGATTCCCTGGATGGGTGGAACTAACCCAGAAGACCTGACCCAGCCCTTGATGGCCAGCCCGGGGAGCACAGGAGAGCTAGTTCAGGGAATAACCCCCCTTGAAACATGTGTTCCCAGGTCTGAAGGCCAGGCTGTTTCCTTCTACACACCTGCTCTCATTGCACCACACACCTCCCTAAATGACAAAGGCATCCAAAAGATGGACTGGGGGCTCCTCGTCTCCTCATTCATCCTGGAGGTAAAAGGATGCAGCTGTCCCATCACCATTTGCAATTCCTTGAGATCTGACAGAGGTGTGACCCACCTCAGGTGTTTGCAAAGCTTTCACAGCACAGGAGAGGGGAGTGTGTCTCCTGATTACCCCGTGTCTCTTGCGGTGCAGGGTTTATTTGTTTTTTCTTCACCTGGCTTTCTCTATAGGAAGCTGTACATTAAACCTTAGTGTTCACTTGTCTTCACTGCACTGTCCATTTGCCAAGGCGTGTGATCTGAAGGAGGAGGTGACACTTCCAGACATTTAAATGGGAACAGCCCTGTTCATCCCTCTTTGCTCACGGATGGTAACAGTTGAGCGCACCCCTTCTCGGGGAGAAAGGAGGTCGGGCCTTTGAAAAAGACCCCTTGAAAATGTATCTGTGAACAATGCGTTGGTGGAAGTCAGCTCGTGGAGGAAAATCCTGGATCCTCTCCGCTCCCAAGTCCGTGACAATCTAACCCAAATACTTAAAGGGGCAGGGAGTCTCCGTAACAGGGTAAGGAATCTCAGCCTGTGGTTGAGGTGAGACTCAGAATACGGTTACTCCTGTGGTTGTTACCAAAGCCCTGGCCTCCAGCTGAACTGGAGAGTTGTCAAAGGAGGGATTGTGGAAAAGGGCTGTAAGGTCAGCAGATACAGGTTGATTCTGAAATTTCCCTGCCACCAAACCCAGGGATGGTAGCTCAGAGAAATTAATTCAGAAGAAAAATTTGGGTTTTGAACCAGTAGGTGAGGTGTCACTTCAGTGCAGGAGATAGGTAGAGGAAGGGCCTGAAGCCATGAAGCAGATGATTTGGGATGTGTGGGGTTTGGCTGAGGTGGTGCTGAAGGGGGAAGAAAGACGTCAATGATGTGTGTCCTGTAGTGAAATTGAGGCCTTACCTCAGTATTCAGGTAACTTCCTCTGCAAATCCCTTCCCAAATGTTTAACCCAGCATGAGCGTAATTGGGTGACAATTGCTTCAAGGAGAGCAGGTGACAGTTGAGTCCCCCTGGGAGCAGGGAGGGTTCCCATGGCCCCCTGTGGTGTGGGGACACAGAAGGGAAAGGTGTGTCTGCCTCTGCCCCTGCGTTTGGGGGGGAGTTGTGGGGTTTCTTTCCAGCACTTTGTAAACATTTTGTTTCTGGGCAGCAGAGTTCTCTGCCAACAGAGGGAACCGCAGAGAGGGTTAGTCTTAATCTGATGATTTTATACAATTAAAGGATTTGTCCTCCTTCTCCTGGCTGTAATCTTAGTACCCCTGAATCAGCCACCAGCTCTGCGGGAAGCGGCTCAGCCTCAGCTGGACACAACAGCAAAGGTTTTCCTCTGCAGCTCCCACGTGGGCAATTTAGTTTGAACAACAGACGAAGAAAACAATGGGATGTTCTGGAAACTTGAGGTCTCCTCAGTTTTAACTGTTTTAAAAGCTACTGTCACACATTTTTCTTAGACTGTGCTTTTTATGCAGTGTCTCAGTGCAGGTAGAAGCTCTCCAAGATTCCACTTTTAAATGAATTTGCCAGTCTTTTTGAGTGTTTTCACAAAAGCACCAAAAAATGGGAACAGTTTCCACACTAAGGATTGTCTGCAATTCTGTTCTGCTCACTGCTGGGTTGACAGAGGTGTTCCTGAAATGGAGAAGGTTTCTCGTGCTTTCCTCACAGATGTCTGCTGTTAAGGATAGTGCTGCTACTCTCAAAGGAGAGAACCAACAGGCTAATTCACTACTTTATATTCCCCCTAATTTCCATTTGACAAATACCATCGTGTGATGGAATTTTTTATCCATTGAAGACTTTCAAGACTTGGAATTTTTTACTATTGTTCAGTATTAGCCTTTGGTCCAGTCTCTTATATTCCCCTGCCTTGTTAAAAATTCTGAAAATTCTGAAATTAGTAGTAAACACATCTGTGACTTTTATTCTCAAGAAAAGTTTTTGACTGAGGATAAAATCGGTGTTCTTTGGCAAACCCTGCTAGCACAGCAGTTGGAAAGGAGGTGGTGATTGGAGCAGGAGCTTTATTGCACGTGTGATGTTTGTCCTCAGTTACAGGGATCCCGTAGGAAAGCGGGGACACTGGGGTCAGGGCAGGTGGTAGTTGGGCAGATACCAAGCTCTGAGGGACCTGCAGGCACGGGTTTTGAGCGTTACAAAGAAGCAACTGGTGGTGAGAAACTGTCAAATTAGCTTTAATGCTTCAAATCTCATCTTTTGGGGAGTAAGAAGTACCACCGGTGGAGGTTTATTTTGGTTTCTGAAGCAATTTTGAAGAGAGATGACAGCCATTGTAGTGTCCCAGATCAGGGAGCTCGCTGAGAGACAAAGGATGCTGATTTGATGCCATGTCAGTGTCAGCTCCTGTAGCAGAAATGATTCCGTTCTTACCAGCTCAGATTCCAGGCAGAGTATCCACATGGAGTCCCCCATGCTCATACTGTGTACTTGCAAAACCAGCCTTTGCTGGAATAGATTTTTACTGGTATTTTCTAAATACGCTGTCAAAGCCATGGATTTTCCTCCAGCGTTTTCCTTGAGTGGTTTCCTTTCGCCTTCTGCTTTACACATATTGTTAGGAAATTGGATGGGACTTCATCCAGTAAAATTTTCCATGATATTTACATAAAATTCTGGTTTCTAATGGAAACATACTACAATGATTCCATGAACAGAGCACCGAGCAGGGTTAAGTAATACCAAGCCTATAACATTAACCAGAGGGAAACAAAGAAAATCCAAGTCTCGGTTGACAATTTGATCTTTAGTTTGTCCATTTGTACTCTGACTGTAAATTATTTACAATGGACATAGCCGTACGAGTTCTCAGATGGCCCATCAGCCATAACCCTTTATTTTTACACCTTTTGTAGCTTCTGTAATCATACAGATGGAATCTATTGCTTTTGAGACACTTGTATGACAAGCAGTCCTCAGTACTGCATGGGACTTTGCATATCCCATATAATTAATCTCAAATGCACTTATCACATAAATCTGGGTTTCACAGGACAGATTTTTGTGTGTTTGGTCATAAAAATACATGGAGACTTATGAACAATTATGTATGAATGAGTACAATAGAACTAGGATCTCAGTTTCTGGCTCAAATACATAGTTGGACAAATAACAAGAATACTGATAACTACATTAACGATCTTAATGAAGGAAGAGCTTTGCATAGAGCTAAATGCAAATACCTTGGCTGGACAAATTTGTAATTGTTCAAAACTGTGGCTAACTCTATCTCTACTAATTGCTTTTCCCAGCTTTGTTTGGAGTAGCAAAAACTGGTTTTTGAAAGGGAACACCGAAAATTATGTTCATTCTTGCACTGGAACTTTATTATGCCTGTATTCTGCTCTTGACAAACTATTGAAAATGAGCTCTGAATACCTGATAAATAGGGTTAATAATTCTTTGCAATACCTCAGCTGTGACAGCAGCACCCTCGGGCTGGTGCTGCAACAGCGCAAAGGATTCGAAGAAGGGAACGCTGGTACAAACCAAGGCTGAATAGTAATTCTTATTTTTATGCTTGAAACGCTGATTTAATCACGGGTTTTCTCCATTAAACTACTTTATATCGACATCTTTCATTTTTCTGTCCTTTGAAGGTGGTAAATATGATTGCCGTTTGATCCATTTTTGTTCCAAATGAAGCAGGCTCGCGAGCGTTTGGCTGTGCATCAGTTGTTGGAATGCTGCCATACACTAATGCAGACTCCCCACTGTGAGCCCAGCGAAGAATTATACTTTGATTCACCAGATTGTATTAAATAGTCCAGCTGTTGGGATTTGAAAGATAGTTACCTCCAAAGTGAAATAAAAATGAACTTGGCATTTACGGCTTTGACCGTTTTTATAGTGTTGGGCAATCAGCTTTTCAGAGGTAGCACTTTTTAAAATAACCGTCTTCTGGTTACGCGGCTTTAAAAAGTTTAATTTGCTGTAACATTCAAAATACCCCACCTTGTATTTTCTGGAGTGATTGGCAACTTTTGCATAAAATAAGCATTATTTTCCGTATGAAATCACTAGCTTCTGATGATAATCAAATGAGGCTGAAACTGTATCTATTAGCGCCAATTTCTGCATTAATTAACTTATACCGAAGTTCTAATGTTGGAGACAATTCTTGTAATTAAAGCTTGAACATGGAATTTCATTCGCTGGACCCAGCGCTTCCGGAGCGAGCCCAGCAAAGACTTTCTGGGGTGGGAAGTGCAGCAGCTGTAGTTTTTGGGATGATTTCTCTGTTTTTAACCTGTACATTCACCCTGTCCCAGTCAGGTGGGAGCCTGGACCTTCTCCTCCCCGTGCTCTGAGTGTTGAGCGAGGTGACCTCTTTTTTCCCTTTGTCATTTCCTCTGGGACAAAGACTGTCACAATAAAGGGCAGTTCGTAGCAGATGGATCCCGTAGCTGGGTTTCTTTCTCTGGCTTCCAGTTGATTCTACTTTTGCCTTTCCAAGGGTGTCACCTTAGCAGTATGGAAGGCTGCTCCTTATGAGTAAGCGTGAAAAATTTAAAAAAAAGAAAAAAGAGGGTTTGCCTGCACGTTTCCAACACTAGTACTGAAGCTTTTGGATATAGACAAGTGCTTTTTGTGTTTATAGCCCCATATGCCAGCCTTGAGCAATAACCTGATGTCTCTGACCTCACCTTCCTCTCTCCCGGCTCACGGGGCTTTTCATTTGCAAGAATCCCTGTGCCACGAGCAATGGAGACGTAGCCCTGTTTCTGGGGGGCAGAACGTGGCTCTAACACCCTCCAGTAGTTGAATTTTCAGGAATCATTTGTAGTTGTGAGACCAGGAGCAGCCTCTTGGTGCCGAGCCACGGTGGAAAATCTGGTTGTGGTGCCTGGACCTCTCTGTCACACAGGAGAGCGTGGTCTGGTGAAAGCCCTGTGGTGGGATGGAGCTGTGGAGAAGAAGCCACGGCCTCCTGGCAGGCTGCAGGTCACCCAGCCTGCAGACAACAGGGACTGGTGGCATGTTGTCCGGCTGCAGCTGCTCCCATGGACGTGGGGGAATCTAAATCCACCTCCGAGAGCAGCAGAGAGAAAAGAAACCCTTAGAACTTTACACTGGTTCTTTCATGGTCTCAGGAGGCTTTTTCAGTGCTTTGTGAATTCAGTTTTCCTGTTAAATACCTTCCGTGGGTCAGGAGGGGCCATGGGGCTGGTGCATTTTGTGCACCACTGTCTGTGTGTAACAGCTGTTAAATCCATACATCTGTTCAGTAATTAAGTGGACCTGTCCCAGCCCTACTAATAGTAGAAATGCTTTTCTCTCGATTTATATTCTTTCTCCTAAATATGTGAACTGTTACCTGTATTCATGTATTTCTTCTTTTTCCTCTAGATCGACCAGTCACACGGAATTCACAAGAAGAGCTTCTGGCAGTGAAAAAGAGACCGAATCCGTTGTGGTTTTAGGTCCCGTTTCCGCGGGCGGGGAGCGGGCGGCTGGGGACGCGCTGGGTCAGGACAAGGCGCAGGAGGAGAAGAGCAAGAGGCTGCACAAGGAAACGAACGCGGAGAAAATGAAAGACACGGACAGTTCCAGCTGTTAATTGTTACTCTGCGAGGCTGGAACTTTTGGGAATCCTTGTCTGGACCCATAAATCACGTAGGTGTGTTGTAGGGGCTGTGCTCTGGTCTCCAAACCCTTCTCAGCAGCACAGACTGACACATCTTTTGGATGCGGTCTTGTTACACGCGTTGAAGTGTTAAACAACTACGTATCACTCAAAATCTCTTCCCCGTTTTCATTTTGCAATTATGGTTAGTACTTTCTTAGATACTGTCAGTTACCTTTTCTTTAAAACTGTATTTGAAAAGGCTTTTTCCATTACTCCGTTTTGAGAAGATGCCTTGCTCAAAGGTCCATCCTGAAGCTCGCCAGAAGCCCCTTGTGTCCCTCTTGAACTGGAGAGGTTTGGGTTAGCCCTTGGGGAGGTGATTGCGCACACATCAGCGTTACCATGGGGGGGGTTAGTACTGATAATTAAAAATTCAGGGTTTAGACACGTTGCTTTAAAAGTATTTTGATATCTACTTAAGCCAAGATCCTGTAGGCTTCCTCACTGCTGTCTCCGCACACGCTCTTTGGAGAAAATGAAAAGCACAAAGCTCACACTTGAGTTTGGGGTTCCCTGGTGGATTCCCCGGTGGGTCCCCAGCCCCGAGGCTGAGCCCAGGGGCAGCGCAGCGCGTCCCTTTGGTACCGAGGCTTTTGGTGCTCTCATCTGGATAAAAAGCTTTTCCAAGGAGGACTTCTCTCCTGGCTTTTGTTCTAGTAGCAAAGTTTGGAACTGCTGCAGGTTTGGAACTTGCTCTCTACAACTCCCTGAAAGGAGGGTGTAGCTGGGGAGGTCAGTCTCTTGTCCCAAGTCACAGGTGATGGGACAATAGGAAACGGCCTCAATTTGCTCCAGGGGAGGTTCAGGTTGGAGATTAGGAACAATTTTTACACTGGAAGGGTTATTGCACATTGGAATGGGCTGCCCAGGGAAGGGGTTGAGGCACCATCCCTGGCGGGATTTAAAAGAGGGGGTGGCATAGAGCTTAGTGACATGGTTTAGTGATGGTTTTTATCAGAGTGAGGGTGATGGTTGGACTCGATGATCTGAAAGGTCCCTTCCAACCTGGACAATTCTATGAGCCTGACTGGAATCTGCATTTACTGCTGCAAACAAATAACTGATCCTGGGCTCCCATGAGAATGGACTGTGTCGTCCCTTCCAACCTGGACAATTCTGTGATCCTGACCAGAGCCTGCATTTACTGCTGCAAACAAATAACTGGGCTCCCATGAGAATGGACCACGTTGGGATTCACTCCTTGTGGGATTGCGAGGTATTTGCAAGCAGGATTTTGAGAGGTCCCAGCTGGAAGCCTGCAGCACTGAGGAGCCTTTGCTTTGCACCTGGCACACGCTGGGGACATTAATTTCTTTACTGGGTGACACTTTAGGTGTCTGCATTTGCTAACACAAACCCCAGCTTCCCTCAGCCCTTAATATTTGCTCTGAAGACAGAGCGATGGGCACAGAACTGACCTGCTCCACTGCCAGCTCTCATCCCACTCCACTTCCTTTTTAAATTCAGCACAGTGTCTCCTCCTCCTATAGGGACCGAACAAACGCGTCAGGAATTTACCTAAAGATCAGCGTAACTGAAATTGGCTGCTCGAGTACTTGAATGCACTTGGATTATCTTTTATTTAATGATTTGCAACAGTGCTAGTGTTGAAGGATGAATGTTCGGGGTTTGTTGGTTTGGCTCTGCATGCAACTGTCTGGTGCTCTTCCTAAAAATAAAGCGATAGCAATGAGTGTGGTAGTTTCACATCTTTTTTGGCGTTTTTGCATGTTTGCTAAGAAAATCTTGGACTTGATCTTGTTAATGAACTGCATATAATTCCTAAACTTGGGGAAATTTGTCTCTGGTAGATATCTTCATTTCTGGGGGCAGTTGGTTCTGGTGGTTAATTTTTGACTTAAGTATCTGTTACACTGAATTCAAAATAAGGGGAAATTTGTCTCTGGTGGATATCTTCATTTCTGGGGGCGGTTGGTTCTGGTGGTTAATTTTTGACTTAAGTATCTGTTACACTGAATTCAAAACGCACCGTTTTATATCCGCATTTTTCCTCGAATCCCTGCTGCTGTATTATACATTCAAATTTTCCGATGGTACGAAACCCGCGAGTTTTTTTAAGAAGTATTTCTTTGACTTCAACCGTTTTGTTACCTGGGACGTCAATTATTTATTTATCTTCTCACTGTTGCTTATTAAAAAGACTCCTGACAAGTTTCCCAGAGCCTGTGGAGCTGAGTTGTTATTCCCTGCCTGCGACCAAGGCAGCTCCGACGGGAGCGACGTGTCCCTCCTCGGCCAGACCCAAGAGCAGTGTTTGAGGGGGCGTGGGGGGATGGAGCAGCCTTAACAGTCAAGGCCTTTGTTGTTTGTAAAATGTTGGTTGTTTTTTCATGGGTTTTTTTTTTTTTTGGTACTGTTTGTCAATAGCTCGCTCTTTGTATGGAGAGAGACTTCCACTATTCCCAAAACAAACGTTTAGCTTGGGATTTAACACAGAGGTGTTTGTTTCGTCAGTTTGTAAACACAGCACAGAATTTTGGGGCTTTTTCAAACTCTTGCCACCGCTCCGTTAACTTGGTTTCAGCCAAAAGCCATGGTCTCCTGGGAAAAAGAGAAGGTAGTATTTAAATGCTTTTAAAAACATTTAGCCAAAGGACTTGAAAATAAATGGATTCAGAAGTAGTTAATATGTGAGTTTATTACTAGAAATTATATTTTTTTTAGAAATTTATCCAAACGTTAATGCTGACAACATAAGTCAGCGTGCTGTTCCCTGGGAGCTAAGAGAACTATGGAGGCAACACATCCTGCTTTGGGGGAGGAAGTACATCAGAAGGTTCTTCTTCTGGCTGTGATTCTTCAGCAAAAGCAACAAATTCGAGATTTGCTTCACCTGAAATAGAAAACAGAAACTCATGTTTGCTGTGATCTGGTTTCTTGTGATCTTCTCTCGTGCACTCAGGTTTTGTTTGTTCGTTTTTTTTTTGAATGCCTCATGATCATAGACTCATGGAATGGTTTGGGTTGGAAGGGACCTCAAAGATCGTCTCATTCCAACCCCTGCCCTGGGCAGGGACACCTCCCACCAGACCAGGTTGCTCCAAGCCCCATCCAGCCTGGCCTTGAACCCCTCCAGGGATGGGGCATCCACAGCTTCTCTGGGCAACCTATTCCAGCATCTCACCACCCTCACAGGTAAGAATTCCTTCCGAATATCTCAATCTCCCCTCTTTCAGTTTAAACCATTACCCCTCACGGCTCCACTCCCTGCTGAAGGGTCCCTCCCCACCTCTCCCGTAGGCCACTGTTAAGGCTCCACTTCATGCTCCAAGAGTTTCTAAACACCTTTAAAACTCTGGGCCTCAGAAAGAAAGGGGTGACAGTTCTGCACTTCACAGAATTAGGGGACGGTGCGGTGCAGGTTGAGCTGGGATGGTTGTTGTGTTCCCTTCTGCACCGACCATCTCACCTCCGTGTCCTCTTTTTGAACACCCCCCTCCTCTGCCCTGGTTCCCTCTCACCAAAGTCCCTGTGCCTCTTCCTTCCCCAGCCTTTAACAGCTCTACAGGAGCCCAGGTTTGGATGTTGCTCACTGAATTACCACATCACTTTTCACTGCTATTTTTCCCAATTCTGTGATGCTCCTTCCTCCCTGTCCTCACCACCCAACTCCCTGTTTTGCCACCTGCACAACACCCACCCCATCATAGAATCATACAATTGACATCACTTTTCACTGCTATTTTTCCCAATTCTGTGATGCTCCTTCCTCCCTGTCCTCACCACCCAACTCCCTGTTTTGCCACCTATGCAACACCCACCCCATCATAGAATCATAGAATTGCCCAGGCCGGAAGGGACCTCCAAAGGCCATCTAGTCCGACCCCCCCGCAGTCAGCAGGGACACCCCCAACTAGACCAGGTTGCCCAGGGCCTCATCGAGCCTCTCCTTGAATATCTCCAGGGAAGGGGCCTCAACCACCTCCCTGGGCAACCTGTTCCAGTGCTCCACCACCCTCACAGTAAAGAACCCTCTCCTCATCTCCAATCTAAATCTGTTCCCCTCCAGCTTGAAGCCATTGCCCCTACTCCATCATGGAGTACATCTCGGAGATGACACCGAGTATGTTACTTTTGGGATAAGTGATGGCTGGTGGGGGATCTGGCCTGCAGGCAGGTCACACGTGCCCTCCAGGTGCAGCTGGAGTTGGGGCAGAGCCTCCTCCACCACCCCCAGGCTCCCGGGGCGAGGGGACGGGCAGCAGGAGTGCCCGGGGTGAGATGCTGCTGCTGGGCCCAGCTGCGTGCCCCGCTCCCCCGCTGCTGGGGGGACGCCCGGTGGGTCAGTGTCACCTCCCATCCATCATCTGCTCACAGAGTCCTCTCCTCCTCCGCTCTCCAGCGTATTCCCCAGCCCGGCCAAATGAGGAGCTTGGTATGCAGCTCAGCCCCACAGCCCCGCACGGCCCTCTCAGTGATTTAGTCACCAGATTTTATTTCTGCCAAACGATTAACGGCATCAGGAATCATTGCTATTTCATTTCACCAGATACAGGTTCAAATATTTGTCAAACTCCAGCTCTTTTGTTTAGACTGCACCATTGGAAGAGGGACTATATTAATACCGCTGGGGCTGTTCAAATTCACAGTTCTATAATTAGCTGTCTTGTTTTTGAAAAAGTGCGTTCTGTGAAGCCACTTTCTTAGTGAAAAATAATTTCTGTCTATGTTTCTATTTTTTGCAATGATTGCATATGAGCAAGGGGGAGCTTTCAAGAACTCAGAATATTTTCAGTCAAAAAATTTTTTAAATAAAAACTTTGTTCTACAGCGTGCATGTCAAGAGCTGCTATCCTGTGCACAGAACATTGAAAATGATTAGAAAAAAAGAGGGCAAAACGACTTAATTCTCTTTCATTTTTTTCTTTTTCTTGGGCACAATAAATTCTTGCAAACCCTTTCCTTCCTTTCTTCCTCTCCTTGTCTCTCTGCCTCCCCTTCAGACTCTGTGCCTTTATTCTGCCTTTGATTGATACCTGAGGAAGGGAGAGGTGTCTGTAATGAACTGCTCTGCATTGCCCAGCACAGAGCAGGGTGTGCAGGGGAGCTGCAGCTCCTGCACCGCCGGCAGATGCACACAAGTGCCTGGGGCTGAACGTGCATCCCTCAACTTGGCGTTTCCTTGGGCTTCATTTAGTGCTTCCCCCTGCAATTGTAGCTTTCCAAACACATTTTGCTGGAAATGTAACGCACAAAAGCGGGCGGTGAAAAGAAGTTTTGTTAGCAATATATGTTTAGGGGGTTGAGGGAGGTGAGGTATTTGGCCTAAAATTCCATTTTGGCAGCTTTTCGGCGTGTTATATGCATGGTTTTTGTTTTGTTCCCTTTTGCACTGTGAGCTTCAAGACTCCAACCAATTAATTCTGGAAAAAAAGCTTAATGTAGGCTACTCCTCAAGAAGGGGTCTATTTTAACATTCAGTAAACAGATAATCCATTAGGACAACAATATACATTGTGGCAAGTGCTATCCTAGGTTTTTTTTGTCAGCGCTTATTTATAGCCTTTTGATTTCGCTTCCCTCCTGGGGTGCAGTTTCAATCATTCTCCCTCCAATCTTTGTGCCCGTATTCATTGCAAGCTGAAAACAAAGTAAGAAAGAAGCTCATACGTAGCCTGCTATTCTTGGCCAGTTCTTCCTCTATAGCCAGAAGGCGGTTGTATTTGGTCACCCTTTCTCCACGGGAAAGACCTCCCAACTTGACAAACCTGGCACCCAGTCCCACAGCCTGAAACGAGAAAGGGAGGATTTTAAAACTACACCCTTTGGGAAGTGAAGCCCTTCTTAATTATTCAACGCGGCATCCTACTTCTAATTTAACACCCTCATCTTTCT